GGAGAATATAAGAAATGAATTAAGTGAAACTCAAAAGTTGACCCTGTTTGTTCTCTACTGGCAGATGTAAATGAATGCAACAGTAGACCTTGCCAGAATGGAGGAACGTGTCAAAACCTTCCAGGAAGCTACAGATGTCAATGCAAACCAGGATTCTTGGGCAAGCAATGTGAAATTGGTAGGTAATTTGCATCCTAATTATTTCATGTTTGTTTTTTGTGAAAGTTTTTTCTTCGTTGTTTTATGCTTAAATTTATTTAGCTGTTACATTTTGCCCGAGGAATCGATGATAATAATCGATGATAATCATAAACGAGGATCATGATCATGATGCTTCATCAAACTTTTCATTTCTCAAACTATCTGTATACAAATAATCAGTTACTTTGTCTTCATGTTTTGAAATAAGGTTCAAAACGAAAAAATAACGTCCTTTAACCACTTATGCTATTGTGCTGTGTAAAAAATTCAAATCCAACTGGAAATTGAAATTTGCGACAGGATCCAATAAAACTTATTTCTCAAACTATCTGTAAAAAATAATCAGTCTTTTCTTCATGTTATCAAAAAAAAAGTTTATTTAAAAATATTGGAAATACAGGCCAATAATTTAGTCTTTTATGAATTTGATGAATGTAAACACCACGAGCAACTCAGCGATCGTCAGCGGGCTGCAGGTGTCCACAGAGGAAATACTCTGAAATGTGACCAGAAGGACTTGGCGACTCCCAAATGGTACAGGTTTACTGGAGCAGCTGGTACTCGGATGCCATCTACCTGTGTTCTAAAGCATTACTGTGGAACACACGCACCTGGATGGTTAAGCACTGCACATCCAACAAAGGTTGGACAGATCGTTAACGGCAAAGTGTGCTTTCACTGGGGAAATAAATGTTGTAATTGGCATGCCAACATCCAGATAAAGAGGTGCAACGGATTTTACGTTTACAAACTTGTAAGAACACCTGTATGCTGGTTACGATATTGTGGAAATGCAGGATTTGGTGAGTTTAAGATAATCTGTCTTGTGGTATCATGTATTTACTCGGTAGAAGCAGCTGTCTCTGACGCGCCTGATTTTGAAGTAAAAAAAGATTAATCTTCTTTGTCTCCAGTAGGATCAAAAAGGACTTCTGTATGTTGGTTGCGTTACTGTGTCAGTGCAGGATTCGTCGAGAATGTGTTGCAACAAGAAAAATAAAAAAGTGTTCGAAAACATTAAACCTTGCTTTGCGTTATCGACATTATGTCCTAAGGGAATATCCAAGGGACCTAAAGTTCCCGTAATACCTGTATAGTGCAGCTGTAGTGATAGTTACCACCAAAACTACTACTTGTCCATTATCATCATCTTTGTCTTCGTCGTCTTTGTCGTCATAATCATATAGTTCCTTTTCCTCAAGACTGGAAGTGGCCAGGAATTAGGCTTTTCCAAACTTTTATACACACTACAAAGTCGTTTATTTTTTCCATAATCAGTTGAGGATATTTTTGTACGGAGTGTTTTTTAATCCTACTCTAAACGCCCAAAATCTTGTGATAGAAAACGTCCATTTTCCGGTCTGGCAACCTCGACCATTGATGTGGCATGTTTAGTAGACCCAAAATAACCCCCTCCCGTGTAGCTCATGGCATCATTAAGACGCGAAAGGCCCACCACCATAACATAAGTTGTACGAACAAACATGGGGACTACGAGTGTACATGTCCGCTGTACCGGGTTCTCGGATGGATTATTACTGTGGCAGTAAAAACTCCTGAATGCCCTTGAGTGAAAAAATAGCCACACCAGGTGCTTAGCATAGCCTGTGCGATATCTAAATTGGAAAACGCCTTAAAAAATTTAGATATTATAGCTATCCATTTAAAAGAAGTCCAGATGTACGTTAAAAACCGCCAACAAAACATAAAAATTGTTTAAAAAAGTTCAAGTTCCTTTTCCTGTACTAAATAATATGGCTATGCTCTTCATACGCATAAAATAGCGATCAATATAAATAATAATAATAATAATAATAATAATAATAATAATAATAATAATAATAATAATAACAATTACTATTTTATTTAGACGTGGATGAGTGCAAACAAAGTAGCCTTTGCAAGAACAATGGTACTTGTGTTAACATACCTGGTGGATTTCAGTGTCGCTGTCAAGCTGGATACCAGGGCGATGACTGTAGTCAAGGCAAGTGATCTTCACCGAACCTGAAATCCTAAAATCCTCACTTTCAGCTTTTCTAAAACCGTTGTCAAACGTTGCCATATTGTATGTTGTTTGGTTAGCAGGGCTAGTAAACGGAGCGACTTATACACTGTACCTGGGAGGCTTATATATGAACCGGAATAAAAATAACTGAAAAAAGCTCATCGAAACTAGCTGCTGATTTAGTTCAGCTCCAAAACGTCATGATAACTCGAATTCATTTCAATACAAGCTAGATGGGGCTTATATCCGGGGCGGGGGAGGGATATATTTTTCTGTTTAGACTAGAGTAGGCCTATAAGTGGCTGGGCTTATAAGCGGTAGTTTAGGGGACACGAAGAGTAAATACTCGCATAAAAAAACCAAAACCAAAACGTAAACGAAAGGAAAGAACCTTACTCGCAATACAATTTTTTGTTGATGTTCATTTAATTACATCTTAAACACACATACTGTACCGAATTCTTTTTCAGACGTTGACGAATGCATTAACAATCCATGTCAAAACACCGGTAACTGTACGAATAAACCAGGGAGTTACGAGTGCTATTGTATCGACGGTTTTGAGGGAAAGAACTGTGAAAAAGGTAAGAAAATCTCATGTCCTTTAGTATATATACGAAGCTGTTTCCTTAGTTTTATTAATGCGCTCCTCATAATTGTTCTTCTTATTTAAATTGTAAATATAATTGTATAACGTTGGACGTCAGGGGAAAGCCACCTTAACACGTTTAACACGCGAGAAGCCTGGGCAAGAAAAATGAGCGGAAAGAAACCTAATTTTGTAGTTTCATTTCACTTATAACGATGCTTAAAATTTAGTTTCTTTCTTGCAGACAAGGATGAATGTAGTGGAAGCAACAATCCATGTCAAAATGGTGCGACATGTGAGAACAAGATAGGCACATACAAGTGTATATGCCCGGATGGCTATACGGGATTCAATTGCGAGATAAGTAAGTTTTAGTTTTACCATACTCTCTTAGCTTTACAGAGCCAGCTACTGGCACTGCACGAAAAATTGGATTTACAACAAATTTATTCAGTGCAAATTTGGTGCAAAAAAGTGTAAACTAAGGTTAAATAAAGGGCAAAGATGGTAAATACCGCATCTGCCCTAAAATTTACACCCCCATGTAAACTGGCAAGCAATGCGGTATTTACCATCTTTGCTTTTAATTGCCCCCTAGTTTGCACTTTTTTACACCATATTTACACCGAGTAAATTTGTGTAAATCCAGTTTTTCGTGCAGTGTGGGTGTCGGGACTTAATGAAAAAGGGTAAAAGATATAGAAGAAGTTATGGAATCAAATCAAATTAGAATAGAGATTACTTTTGAAAGTAATGGTTATACGAGATCAATTCTACGGCAATTGCAGTAAGTCATACGTCTCTTAGGCAATAGTACTTTTAAATATGAAAACAAACGATGGTAGCTAGAACGAGCAAGAACAGTCACCTTTCAACACCTCATCCTCAAAGGTTTTCTAGGTATCCAAAAGCTTGTTATTCACCATTTTCACATAGACCATAATACCCACTGCCCCACCTTCCCCCCCCCTCCCCGCCAAAAAAAAATCCGTGACCATTGTTTCCTCTGAATTATACTGAGTGTTACAGTCGTCCCAAGAGAAATTGAAGACAAATTTCTGGGGGTGAACAAGGTGCATTATGGTCTATATATGTGAATCATTTTTGGTAAATTATGATTTAAACTCTGGAGCATGTAGTGGGTCTTGCTTTACATCTCCTTTCCCCTGTTGCTCTCTCATCCCTTTTTAATTATGGCCTTTTATTCTGTCACTCTCCCTACTTCCTTTATTTCTATTTTTCTTTTCTTGTAGAAAAAAATTTCGTTGCACTTGGCTGTTTTCAAGACAATGCTAACGACCGCGCAATGGGAAAGTTACTTAAGAACTTACGGCAATCTATTGACTGGCGTGATATGTCAAAAACAGTCAAAAAGTGCTCGGAGATTGCCAGGAGTCACTCGTAAGTATTAATATTAGTTTTTGCATGTTGTTTTCCAGGTCCAAGATGAATATTTTACTTTTTTTCTACACACTTGTGACAACTTTATTGTGTCCACCATTAATGTATTACTGATAAAAACAAAACATAATAATAATAATAATAATAATAACAATAGTAATAATAATAATAATGTGTTTACACGGCAATTAAGAAAAAATATCTAAAGTGTGGCAAAAACTTTGTAGACTGCTAATTTAGCGCAGTTTATAATTTGGGAGTCACAAAGAAACGCACATAGCCTACATCAGTCAAAATCGGAATAATTCATTTAATATACCATGCTTTCCACGGATTTGCATGTGGTAAAACATTAACAATTATTGGACCGAGGTTTAGCAAAATATCGTGATTTGTCAGTGGCGAGCAGATCAATTGTTTGCCGAAGCCGAATAAGGAATATCTTCGGGAAGCGAAGCGATCTCCCATTTTCACGCAAGAGCGATCGCAAGAAGGAGAAAAGGGTGGTGTCATTTACGCATGAGCAGAATATTATTTGCAGCCAAACAAAGTTGGACGACATTGCGCATGAGGAAAACATTATTTGTTGGAAGTTATTTGCAGGTCACGTGGTGGGCTGTCGGCTAATGAAAAGGAAGAAAAAATTTCAACGAATGATAACATAATTTGAGAGATATTTACGCGCCAAGAATCCCGTTTCCCTTTAATTAAGTGCAAGGATAAGTCCTTTATTCATATGGTTTTCTTTTCGTCTTCAAAGGATGTATTACTTTGCTATCCAGTATTACGGAGAGTGTTGGGGTGCAAAGGCTGGAACGAAGTATGACAAGCATGGACCAGCCAATAACTGCTGGTCTGGTGTTGGGGGCCCGTTCAGCAACTTCGTTTACAAACTGTGATAAAATTCGCTGAAGGTTTGTACAAAAATTATCACCAGCTCTGGATACATGGAAGAGTGTCATACCTACTAGTCAATTTGGCATTCAAGTTAGTCTTATATCGCAGCTTCTCACATAACACCAAAACGTCCCCGCTACACCTCCTCTCCTCTCTACTCGGGCGTCTGTGTCCAGGGTGAGGGATAAATTACAACGGCAGTACAAAAATTGGAAATCTGTCAAATGTTCTTCCTTTTGTGATGCAAATACAGTCGAACCTCCATGCGCGACCACCTCTCGTAAGCGACCACCTCCCATAAGCGACCCCTCACCCAAAACACCAAAATTTTCCAAGTCAAAGCTTAAAGTTGGAACGCCTCGTAAGCGATTGCGAACGCACTGTAGGATGACGGATTTAGAATTTTCCATTGATTTTAACCTCTTCTAAGAATAGTTAGTAGAGGAGACTGGTTATGAAAGCCGGCAAACATCAAAGATAAAAAAATGGTGCTGTAGTTTATATTGGAAGCTCCCTGACAGTGCACAAACCTTTGTTTTTTGTTCACAAATTGTGACTGAATAAATAAATGCAATGTTTCCATTGGTCAGTAAGTTAAAAAAATGTCTAAATTAAAGAATCGCGCATAAATTCCCTCATCATACCAAAGATAAATAGAGAAAAGACAAATCGTGAGGTGTCACTTACCATATTGAATTTTACACAATAAAGTGGAATCAGTGGTGGTTTTTATTATGCCAAATTCTCTTTTTTACTGCCAACGCAATTTACAAATTGCGTGCATATTAGCAATTGTGTTGAGAATAGCATATTTTCGGCGGGAATACTATGTATTTCAGCGTAAAAAATGGTACTGCTAACAGATATTTATAATTTGAAGTTATTAAACATGCCTAACAAACTCCTATAAATAATTTTTTCTACTTTGCAGTGATTCCAAGTTCCTTAATTAAAGAAGAATTAAAGAAGAAATTAAAGAAGAAATTATTATGATATAAGAGTATTTATCCTTAATTCTAAATGTGACATCAGAGAATAAAGGAAAAGTGAAGGAAGATGAGACTGTACTTTTTTCTGATCTCACAAATGAAGGGCTGGATGGTAATGCATAAAGTGAGGAAAAGGTTGTTATACTAAGATAACCGTGGTTCACTTTCAAAACGTTGGTATTGAAAACCGCCGCATGGTGAACGCGCGCCAGCCATATTGTTGATGCATGTCATTCACTGTCCCTCTACCCCCTAAAAAGCACCAAACATAATATGCTTAATAGACAGACTCTGATTGGTGAATCATTTCTAGGAGAAGAGGGGAGGAATTCATGTCTACTTAACCCTACCCGGCGAGAACTTACGGACATACGGACGTACGCTTTGTAAAGACAAAGTAACGACACAGTGTGAGATTGAGATTCTTACTTTCTTTAAATATTTTTCACAATTTACATTATAAAATTTCAAAATCAAAGCTTTATTTTGTAAATAGTTTACACCATTTTGAGAAAAAATATCTTAAACTAGTTACACGAAGTGTTATTAAATTCTATGCAGCACATTCATTCAGTAATAATGGCTATAATAGTAATAATCACATTTAATTTTCATGTTAAAGTTACATACTTCAAATATTACCAAACATGAATGACATAAGACAATATAGGAAATATAATAGCAAACATCAGTTTTACATAATATTTGGAATGAGTTTTGCCAAACAAATAAGAACAACAATAATAATAACAGTAATAATAATGATAGTAATAATGATATAATAATTTTTTTTGTAATGATAATTATAATGATGATCCTAATAATAATTATAATGATAATCATAAATTCATAATCATTATAATAATAATAACAAATAAAAGATAAAGTGGCTTAGCAACAGAGAGGAAACAATTGAAAGAAAAGTTAGCAGCAAAAGAGTTTTACATGACAGCCATATGCCTGCCATTCTCTATTTTCCAATTGCCCATAATACACTCTGTTTGCCCCCCAAATTCTGCATAAAGCATTGTTTTTAAATGCTCCTGGGAGTATTGCATTTTCCCAAAAGCATTTTAAGACAATAAGTTATGCAATATTTGGGGGGGGGGCAGATAGATAGAAAGATAGAAACTTTATTTATGTGTCAAGAAAGAAAAAAACTAGCCGAGGGGCAGGCCCTCTACTAATAGGGGACACCTACAGTTAAAATATAATAGATACAATAATTAAGTCGATAAAAAAAAAATCCATACAATATGTTACAAATTGTTAGCTAAAATACTAAAGCTGAGTACTAAAATGCTAAAATTATTTCCGATGAGACATCAAGGATCACAGAAGACATTTTTTCCATCATCCATAAGAGATGTCAGATCCGTATTACGCATTCGGTTTCTAAAATCACTTAATGATTTACACGTTTTATCATTTTTGTCCAGCTTGCTCCATAAAATGGGACCTAAATATCGAAGGGAATGCTTACCAAATGAAACTGTGTTAAACCTGGGTAAAAGAAAGTCTGAATTTCTTAAACTGTAGCATGAATCACGAGGTTTAAAAATGTTGGTGATGGCTTCGGAAAAAACAGAGTGTATCATGGGCAATTGGAAAATAGTCAATTGAGGATAGGTTGTGTGCAGGTCATCATAACACTATAGCATATGTGGCTGTTCTTAGTAGTTATAATTAGTGGGGAGTGGATAAAACGGATAAGAAGAGGTAAAAGCAATAACATTGGATTGATCTTACCGGTGTTAACGACTTCGACTGTTCCAACACGCGTCCCGATAGGGAAAGAAGTTCATGTTGTCTGCCTCACATTTGCGATTCAACGTTAACCTCTCATATATCTAGAAGGAGATTGTTTTCAAACACTGAAACGTTTATTGAGTCTCGTTGCTCAACACAGATGAACACAGCCTGGACATGATTTCAAGTTCACGGTCAACTAAAAATTTATTTCGAGGAAGAGGGAAAGGAGTGTGTCAGAAGTATAAAAGTATGTTTTGGCAATTAAATGTTCAGGGGGTCCCTAGGCTTTATAACCCATTATGCTAATACGGAAAACAAAATGATTATTTTACATGCTGTTTTGTATCTTTGGGTGATTGGAAGGGTTCATTCAAGTTTCGATTTCAAAATTGACACAATCTATTCGAGCAAGTTGGAATCTTACCCCAACCCTGGGTATCAGAGATTTTTTTTCTCTTGTGCGGCTGGATGCTTCGGTGTCAGGCAGAATTGAAATCCGGAAGCCGCGCATGTTAAGTGTCTGGCATCCAGCGTAACCTCAAGCGTCAAGTAAGTAATTAACTAGGAACAGAATTTGAAAAACTGAAAAAGGACACACCCTCCCGCCTTTAGCTAGTACTCGAAACTTGGGGGCTAACACTGCCTCCAACGGCATTGCAGCTTCTAAAGCGTTTCAAGCAATAAATAAAGAGTTAACGCGTAAGCAATCATAAACTTATGATCGAGACTGGAAGATATAAAAAAAACTCCTTTGCGTAAGATATAACCCAGACAGAGATACATACAGTTTACCATTTCGTTAAATTTGTGTTAGTGGTAAACTCAAGTCTTAACTGTCCTTTGTGACTTAACGCTTCGTGGAAGCTGGTTGGCAAAAATTCTTTAAATCGGGTAAGAGTCCAGTTTTAAAAAATGCATAAAAAGCGACCTATTTCAAATCAACTTCTGTCCAGAACTTTATCCATCATCAGGGGCGTAGCAAGATTTTCGACTACTTGTAGGCCCGGCTGACTTGACTCCTGAAAATGGCACGCATGGCTAATACGCACTCACTTCACCAACACTTTGAGCTCTTAACCTTTTTAACTCACCCCAATAACGCATAATTTATTACAAGCGGTAGAGTGATCAAACCAAAAATTTGTAGGCCGGGGCCTACAGGTTTATGGGCCTGCTACGCCCCTGACCATTGCAATCCAATTAAGTTTGTTTCTTATAGTAATTTCAATAAGACTTTTGTTATCAAATAAGCTGAAAGGCGTTTGAGCTTCCTGTTTTAACTGTAAGTATTTGTGTATACTCATTATTATGAACTTACCCTGATACTATACTTCCCAGGCTTTTCTGGGACCTTCAACGATCTCTTTACACATTTTTCCTCACAAACAAAGTCCTGGTCTGCAATATAGCTAGCGGCACACTCGCTTACGCCAGCGCCAGCGCTAAAGTATACTTGTCGTACGCAGGTTGGACAAAAGAGTTTCTCGGTCTTGCAGTATCTGTAACATCCTGAGCAATTACAAAAAAGGGATCACACACATGCAGCACTGGTTATGAAAGACAACAAACATCAGTGATATAAACACGTCAGTGTTGTCGTTTTTGTTATAAGCTCCTTTGACGGTGAACAACCCTTTGCGTTTTTGTTGAAAAATTGCGACGGAATAAATTAAGGCGACCTTTTTTTTGGTCAGTAATATCACTAGTAGCGGAATATTGGACTTTGTACACTTTTAGTTCTACCCAAAAAAATGCAAAAACATATAACAAGGAGTCTAACGAGCTTCAGAGATCCAGGTTTATATATTAAATTTGTTGTTCAAAAATTGTGATGGAATAAATTAAGGCGAAATTTTTATTGACCGGGCAAGATCAAAATGATAGGAATATTGGACTTTGTACACCGTTAATTCCACATAGTGGAAAAATATAGAATAAGGCGTCTGACGGGCTTCAAAGATCCAGGCAGATACGTTAAATCTGTAAATTACTTTATATCTTTTTTTTTGAAATCCTGTCAAGTGTCATTTAATATTTCCTTATGGTTATATTTGACCTACCGTTCACCCAAATTATATCTCCTGGAGCCGCTGTGAAACTGTTCTTCCCCACAATCCAGAGTAAAGGATCTGAATTATTGAGTAATCAGGTAAGGAGTGAATACAAACATAAACTTAAATATTGATAGTTTTGGGTGGCAACAAGTACAAACCTATACATACGTAAACGTTTATTTGAACTCGAAGGTAGAGTAGCTAGTAATAGCTAGCCAAGAATCTCCGAGCTCAAATCAGCATATAAAGATAATAAGTAAATAAAACAAAATAAATAAATAAGTCTTGTCTTAAAGGTACACTTCAATCTGGAACCTGATAACTCACCAACGTATTCCGCTAAGAATAGTTCAAAGTGAGTTGTGACGTCAGTTAATGATTCACATATTGAACTCTGGTTATTGACCTGATTGATCAATTATTAAGTCGTGGTGTTATTTCTTGTTGTGTTAAGCGTTGATGTTATTCGCTATGAGGGCTCGTAATGTCATTGGTGCGTTTCGATCCACCGATTGTCACAGTTAAACAGTCCTTTATCGTTAGTCAAATTTTCAGTTTTCCAGTCATTCTCTCGTAATTAGTTTTTCTTGAGTCCGGCAATAGTAGGCCGTTTGTCCGGCGCCGCTAACTTTTGACTACGATTCATTGGCGTTTGTTCTAAGTTAGTAAACCAGCTTTCTAAAGCGAGTCGTCGATAGCAGTCTGTAGAACACGTAACACATGTTCCAGTTGAAGTCAATTTGATGTTTCGTCTGTAAATGGTGTTCAGCAATGATAGTAATAATAATTATTATTATAATAATAATTGCAACAGTAATTACAAAGCTAACTATAAAATCCTATTTACAATTAATTTCGCTTTAAAAATACTATTCATCCAAAGCACTATTTACAATTCCTTTCGATTAAAAATCACTTAGTTTCGATTAAAAAATTATTCGAATAACATTTCAATCAGAGCAATTGAGTAAGGAAGGTCAAAAGTTTGGTTACCTTGTGAATGGGACAAAGAGCTGGCTTATTGTAAAGTCTAGGGAACTCGCGGAGGAAGCAAAGAGGGTGTTTGGAGAGGAAATCAACATAACAACTGAAGGTCAGGGCCATCTGGGAGCAGTTATTGCGTCGCAAGAATACAAAGATCAGTATTGTGAGGAGAAGGTTCGTTCATGGAAAGAGGAAATCGAACGTCTCTCTGAAATAGCGAAGAGCCAGCCCCATGCGGCGTATATTGCTTTCACAAAAGGCTACAAGTCGAAGTTCACCTACTTCATGCGCACGATTGAATCGTTTGAAGTTTATGTCGATCCAATCCAGGAAGTGATTGAAGATTTACTACTCCCAACTTTGTTCGGTCAATCAGAGCCTCTCCCTAACGAGGTGCGCAGACTTGCTACCTTAGCAACGGGTCAAGGGGGTCTAGGCATTCCTGATCTGAAATCCGAGGCACCGCAGCAGTTTGCTGCCTCGACACTAATAACCACCGCGCACGTAGATTCTATTACTTCACAGAGTTCCATCATGGTGCCATAGCGAGTCTCTGAACTCTTGCTTGTTGAGGGCTAAACCTTTGTCTGCGAGAGGCATCGCATTCAGCCAAGAACTTGCGCCCTTGTCCCTCGATTGATTAACCAGACGCAGCAGGCCTGGGGAGAGGCTTGAATCAATGCTATCCATTTTCTCTTTGGCAGTTGCTCTCTTAAGTGATTGTTGATGCCTCTTTAGCTCCTCCGTAGATCTTTCTCCTCGCTTGCGTTATGACTTGCCCTTAGTCGATTTACCAAGTCATTGCATATGTGGGGATAAATTCACCGTTAGTCACGCCCTCTCTTGTAAAAAGGGGGGCTTGTAGCGCAGAGACATGACGGTGTACGGAACTTGTTAACGAAATTCATCGACAAGATCTGCAATAATGTCGAAATTTAACCACGCCTTCAACCCCTGGACAACGAGCGATTTCATTTGAGGAGTGCTGTTACAAGTTCTGAGGCAAGGTTGGACATCAAAGCGGGAGGTTTCTGGGCAAGAGGAGTTACGGCATTTTTTGATGTTAGAGTTACGCACGTCAACTCCAAGTGTTACCAGAGCAAGCTAACATCGGAAGTGTTCAAAGAGCAAGAAGAAGAGAAGAAGCGCAAGTACCAGCAGCGGGTGTTAGATGTGGAAATGGGTTCGTTTACGCCTTTAGTGTTTGGTACCAATGGCGGAGTGGGAAACGAATGTCAGCGGTTCTTAAAGCATCTCGCAGACAAGATAGCTCAGAAAGACACCGAGCCTTATCATGTTGTAATCACTTGGCTCAGGACACAGATCTCGTTTGAACTCTTAACATCGGGACATGCATGCGTCAGAGGTTCGCGAACGTCGTTTCGTAGCAAGATAGAGCAATCATTAGACTGGGGTTTCTTTTGTAACCGATGGAATTGTAGATAGTGTTTTGATGAATTAATTAGATTTTTTGTAACAGCAGGTTGATTTTAAATAGGATTTTAATTGAGGTTTTGTAATAAAGATTTTACTTATTAATAATAAAAAAATAATAATTATATTATTATTATTATTATTATTATTATTATTATTACTGTTTTTATCAGAGGAAGAGAAAATGTTAATGTTAGTTAATGTCACCTACTTCCGACGTGTATTGTTCCGACTTTAACTCCCCTTTCGCCTTTTGGTATGGTGCCGCACACATATTGAAATGGACTGTACCACTTAAAAGGAAACACATATAAAAAGTAACAGTTAATCCAAATATTAAGTTAGGAGGACAAAATTTTCGTATCAGATTATAAATTTACTTTTTGAAGTTAAAAACACGGCTATATTTTTTTATAGACAAACAAGGGAAAAAGAATTTTTTCCAGCAGTAATATATTAAAAAAAGAACATGTTAACTTTTTACAGTGTCTCATGGCTAATAAATCATAAATTAGCCTTCTATCTTCCCCTTAATAGACACCAAGTTTAAAGCTGGCCACTGAAGCAAATTGCATTATTAATTTAGGAATTCTTCTTTTGCCAATGACCGTGATGAGGTGAAAGAATTAACTGCTGACTGCATAAGTCCAATGCCTTATTAAAACCCCACCCCGTAACCTGCACCTATAAGCAAAAAAATATTGCTAAGACAAGAGAATCATAACACAGGTTGCCAATACTTCAGGGTTTTATAAGACGTCCATCAAGTAAGAATATTTAGAGACTTTGATCAATATAGGTCAGAACTAAGGCATTTTTATTCTCTTTTGATTTATTGTTTACAAGTTGACTGGATTATTTCCTTCAAGAAACTACACTCAAGCAAAGATTCTTAAAGATTCTTTTACAGCAATTTTTGTTGCCGTGTGTATTATATTTTGGTTAAGAAAAGTTCAAGTTTATTAAACACTTAGGATACATATAACCATTGATCCTTGCCCGCAAAATAGCCTAACTAATCGAGGCCAGACCGAAAAGAAAAAAAAAATACAATAAGAGGGTTCAAACATAGCAATAAAGAAACAGATACACGGACATTACAAGACAGTGAGTACATATATTTCAAAATAGGTAAATAAAACAATGTGTGAATGAAATTAAATTGAAAATTTAATATTTACGAGAAAAATTTGAGTTAGAGGGTCCCCCTTATGTTTTTTGGGGTATAGGGATCTGCCTTATTTGAAGGCAAAATGGTGGCGGAATTCGTGATTGAAAGTATGCACGGGAAGCGGGATGCGGAAAAACAAATGGGATTACGGAATTGAGCGAAAAGTTGGGTCGGGATGACTGGATGGATGAGCCCTTTTGGGGACCCTCCTGCTATAGTGCCTGATAACTTACCATGATTTTATATTTTCCGTCATTCTTGGGAACGATGGCATCAGCAGTGAAACTGTACTCTTTACAGTTCTCAATGTAGCGTAGATATCTTCTACCCAAACAGGTGATATGATTACCGATTTTCACGTACATCACCCGAAAACAGGAAGCACAGCTTTTGGGGTTGCAGAATTTAAAATAACCTTTCAAGGGAAAAGTATTGTTGGTTAGATGTTTTTACTTTTTTCATCTTCAGGCCCAAGAGCTGACACCAGCGCTAGTGCATGCTCTGATTGTTTCCTTGACCGAGTTCACCCGACTGAGCGAGGCAAAGTTTTTTTACGGAAAAAAAGTTGACCCGGCCAGGAGGGCCGGTGACCCGTCTTTGAGATTACCGTTTTAGTCGATCCCACGTTTTGTTACTCATGTAAATGGTTTGCCAAGTTTTGTAAGAAAATGTTGGAAAAATTGTTGTTCCCAGGGTAGCTCAGCCGTTGACGCGTAACCTGTATAACCTCATTTAAACCGGGCCTTACTAAGTTACGTTTTCGGTCCAACATAACCATTGTTACTTACCGTGCAAAGCTACTCTTGTCCCAGGTGCTTCATAGAAGGTTTTCTTTTGCAGCGTAAGATATTCACCTAAGATAAACTTTTATTCGTCAGTAAACTAGTTTCTTGATACAAGTAATGTTCCATGACTCGCGACGAGTAAACATAAAATAATAACACTCCTGAAGTGAATGCTAGCTCTTTTTTCAATAACTGATTTCTTTTATCGTATAATACCTTTGTCCCTCTTCCCTTCTCAATACCCTGGCCGCTTCAATAAACAGTAATTTGTATTTTTCTTGCGACAATGTTCCCCACTTTACCATAACTAGCAAGAGTTCATCTTCATTTAGCAGATAAAAAACCGTCCTTAAATATCTTTTATTAGAGGCTCTCTCCTCGATCAGTCATCTCTAATTCTTGTTAATTCGAGGTTTTTGTTAATTGTCTTCATTATAATTATTCTCGGTATAATAGAAACCTGTTCTTCTGTACTCATTTGTAACACTGAGGCCCAGCGGTTCATACATACCTGAGCGAATTTCCTCTGAAGCTACAGAGAATATCCAAACCGCAGTAAGGGCAAAGAGAAACATAGTATTCTTATCCTATAAATGAAACCATTTAAAGCATAGATTTAATTTGTGTATAAAGTTCAATTATTTTTAATTACAATAAAGGTACTCTATCGATGTTATAAATAATATAATAATTTGGATAATAATGATATAAAATAAAATAAATCGCTATTTTCCCAAAATGTTTACTGTATGAAAATATAATAGTCCAAACTAGGAATCCATATTAAATTACAATGTCGGGAATTAAAACCAACCAAACAAGCTTTTTTTCTAAGGTTGCTTACCAACTGGAACATTATCATGGAGAGAGCCAACTCTACTTCTCGTTTTCGATATCAGAAGTTTTTTAAATGACCATATGAAACAAAGTGCACATATTATACGTGTACTTTTACAGCTACTTCAGGAAAAAAATGGTCAGCCAAGTGATCGTACATTGTTCGTTACGGGGAACTAGTCGCCTCCTTGTGCCACTTTTACCAATGAAAAGACATTAATGTAGTGCCCCAATAGTAAGTGAAATTTAAATGAGCTGTAACAGCCCAGCTTACCCTTTTCTTCCGAAGAAAGGTATTGTTGGTACGATTTTGTAATTAACAAAGGTTTAAACAATTAGACAATTACAAAACTTTGAATATTGAGCAATAAAGCGTGGTGGACCTGTACAAACGTTGATTAAGGTGCAAAAAGCTGCGTAAACTGTGCTTTGTCAAAAGTGTTACGTGCTGCTGGTTGAGTTGGAAATTTCTCACAATGAAAATATTCTTGATATTAAATACTGTTGGAAAAAGACAAAAACTTTCTTCATTCTATAACCGGCTTGGGATATTCACCCGTTTAACTAGTTATAAATATTGTACAAAGACGCTATTAAATGTACTGAAAATCTGTACTTTTAAGTATTTGATTTTTTTTTAAATTAACCCATATTTTTTTAAATTTCATTTACCCTTGGTTGTATTTATTTGTAGTTGTTAGCTTAAGGACACTTTATTTCACGAGGTAAATACGCTTGGAAATACGGCTAGTTTACATGTCATACGGGTAGAATTAAGACAAATAAAAGGCAAATGGTAATAATAATAATGATAATAATAATAATAATAATAATAATAATAAAATGAAATACAGTAAAAAAAGGAAAAATCGAAAGTACTAACTAAGGTTATAAATTAGCTATGAAATAAAAATATTATGATTGAAAAATAAAAGTCATAAAAATCCAAAAACTCTAAAAGTTTAAGTCACGAACCCCGCAAATAACCCCCCAAACCCCACAGCCAAACTACGCAAATTGTCAGGTAGTGCGTTCAAGTCAGTGTTTCGCGGCGAAGCTCAAGAAATCAAATTCGCTCCTATTTTGCACAGATTTACATTTAATTAAGCACATGAACGTCATATAGATTTTTCCTCGAAAGATCTCACCTTTTCTTAGAAGAATAATGGGAAGCGTTTTACTTCACGAGTCCAAACCAAGATTAAAACTTATTAACTTATTACCGCAGTAGAAGAAAAAGGAGAAGACGAAAGAGAGCAAGCAAAAATCAAAACAAACAAACAAACAAACAAAAAATTTCCCTCGAGTTTATCGAAAAACTTGTATTACCTTAAAATCTGTGATTTCATAAGAGTCAAAGCAATGTGATTTGCAAAGCGAGGTGTTCTCTTGTTTTGTCCTCGCTCTGTAGTTAAAAAAGGAGCGGTTATTTTCATCATGTGCCTTTGATGAGAATTTGTAAGTTGGAGTGAGAAAATACTAAGGTGAACAGTCTTTCAAACTTTAAAGAAAATTTTCGGAGAAGTCAATGTCTGTCAATTTCTGGCAAATTCTGAAAACGACGAAACAGACGATTTTATGTGAACTTTTTTTTTGTTAAAAAATGTGAAAAATAGTAGTTGGTTTAGCAAGACAATTTTTATATATTTTGAAATATTGCAAACTGTGATATTTTCTTAATCAATTTTACAAAATTCCGAGTAAGGACACGGGCAAAAACTGTTCCTTTGGGAAATACAGTCGACTCCCGATAACTCGAACCTTCGAGGGAAATCGAAAAAAAGTTCAAGTTATCGGGAGTTCGAAGAAAATAGCCGGAAGTAAGGTGAAAAACAGTTTTTACCGTACATTGGCAATTTTAATCACATTTTATTGCAGAAATGTTAAGTGAAAATTGAAAGATACTTTCAGATGATAAATCACAACGTATAACGTAACAAAACATAGTCTAAATAGAGCCTGTGTTTTACTGTTTTGGGAAGTAAAGCTGTTTCACGTTAGATTTGTGAGAAACAACATCAGCCTCCACTAGTGAACTATATCTGCAACACGTCAATGGGATTTCAAAATCCAATGTTTCGGACGCCAGTACACTGTTTTTCCCGACTTTTTAAGCGCTCAAAACATGGTTCGAGTTATCGAGGGTAAAATTATACAGAAAATGACCTGAGGGAAAACGAAAATTGGCTCGAGTTAGCGGGAGTTCGAGTTATCGAGGGTAAAATTACAGTAAATGTATAACGGAAACCCAGGGGAAATCGATTTGGTTCGAGTTAGCGCGAGGTTCGAGTTAGCGAGGGTTCGAGTTATCGGGAGTCAACTGTTTACTGCAATTAACTGCTGACCACGTAAGGTGACAGCTTTACACGTTTCTCGATCTCAGACCACGTCTCTTGCCTACTCCTTCCCACTGGTGTGTAATTAAACGAACAAAAGAGGGCATCTTATAAACTTTAGCTAGCGGCTGGAATACGGACACTTCCACGAATCTTCAGTTTGTTTTGAATACCCCCCAAAATCCCTACTTAAATCAAGCCACCCTCCCCAAAAATACTAACCAAATTTTCCTACACCAAAAATCCCGGAATCGAAAATTTCAAACCCTAAAAAATCCTTCGTCCTTCTCCGTTCCTTGAAATCGGGATTACCCCCCTGAGGGTTGAATACAGGTAACTCTTTTAAGAGTGGCTTCCTATCCTTTCTATCTGGAAAACTGAACAAATATGAATCATAATCTTATGGCTGTGATAAATGTAGAGACATAGGAGCAAAAAGATTTCGCAGAAAGGTTGGCTTCAGTAAGAAAAGCACGAAAACTTAGCCTTGTGTCGCAGTTGCCCTTGGGAGAATGAATGAAGAAGAAAGCTCACGAACACAAGTTTCTGATAATGTCTTGAAAATGTTAGCTTCAAAAAGTGGCATCATTATGGTTGATAGTTTTTTTGCAACTGTTTAAAGTGGAGCTGAAACGAAATGACTCAGCAGTATGGCTGTCAGAAACGGAAAGAGAAAAATCGAATAATGGTTGGCCCGTCTATATTTTGCTATTGCGAATACAGTGGAACCTCTATTCAGGGGACACCTTCGGGACCAAGGCAAGTGTCCCTGGACGGCGGTTGGCCTGGGGTTTGTTAATAATTAACCAACAACTAAAATATTTTTATTAGAACCCAAAAAAGGCGTATGTCCTCGCAGGCTAAGGATCGAAACTGCTGCAGCCCTTATTTCAAGCGGCTAGATGATAGATAAAAATCATGATTAACTTATCTCTGCGATGTTAAGTGTTGAATTCCCACAAGTGCAGAAGATCGATACAAGTAAGATAATCGTGTTTTGAAAGCTGTCAAACACTTCAACTTATCCACAATTTTTGTGGTAAGTCACTTTTTGATTGCTGAGGTGTCCCCTGAATGGAGGTTAAACCCAGTTTTCGGAACCCAGAAAAAGTGTCCCTTTCCCCTGAATAGAGGTGTCCCTTCAATGGAGGTAACAAATACAAAGATTATGTAAACATTTTTCCGGGGCCAAATTTTGTGTTCCCTAAATGGGGGTGTCCCTTGAATAGAGGTGTCCCAAACGAGAAGTTCCACTGTGCGACAAAACACCGTGCGGCTAATAAATTGCTATAAGGGAAGGAGTTCTGAGACCACCGCCTTGCGATATGATCAGCATTTTTTTTGCTTTCGGGTTTAAAAGTTTCTTGATGTAAAAAAAAAATCTTTTTTATGTCTGTGATCATGAGCGCTGGTGGCTTTATTCCAAGAGAGACAACAGAGGACACGTAAACTGATAACATTTATTGCAGTCTCCGTAACTTAGCGGAGTGGTCAGCTTAAAAAAGCAAACACTTTCCACTCTGAAGATGTATTCGTGTTAATGACACACCATTTACTTTTGACAGTCGATTCTGCAAACAATCAAAGAAAACAAGAATAAGAATAGTATTCATGTTTGCTTCAACTTTCTGTTTGAGGATTTTTTTGATTCCAGTGTATCGTGGGGACTGAGCAGAGCAGTGGCAGAACAGCAAAGCACAGAACCTAACGTCAGATGGCGTAATTACTTAGCGTCTTGCGTAAAATAACCCAGAGTTTGGCGGTGGTTAATGTCAGTTATTAGAGTTTGCGGTTGACTTTAAGAATCGTGTAACTGGCCCAAACAATTTCATTTCGAGCTTAAAAAGTTTGAGTCTAATTTTGAAATCCTAGATCGCCATAGATAAAGCATACGGTTTATTATATTCTTCAATTTGGCCTTGCGTCACTGAGCGGTACTTTCATGCAAGATGGTTGTGATGTTTTGACCCGTGTTGTAACTTTACTATAGTTAAACCATCTCCCCTCTCCCTACTGTTAAGGCCCAGATGACTACTTATAAGATTCTATAGCTATATGGAGGTTCAAAAAGCGTTTAACAGCAGTTTTAGTTTTGGACATTAATTACCTTAAATTTTGCGAACTCAGTTCACAAACTGATAGACAAAGTTGGAATGAGAAACCCCTACTACTCCCTTGAAGCAATTCTTCGCCTTGCCATCCCTAGCGTATGTACTTCCGGCGTTTGGACCCGACCAGCATTCGCCATAGTATTGGATGGCGAAGAACTTATACCTGAAAAAATAATGATAATAATAAAAAGTAAAAAGTTGGACCAACGGTTGAAGTTCGTGTGGACTATATTTAATATACAACTGTACCACTACCAATAAAACAGGAGGGTGGTTTTATGTGTTCTGTATGACATCTAAGAGCTTATTTCAGTTAGATCAATTAAATGCAAGTTACGTTTTTTAGGTGGTGAGAAGAGGGGAGGGGAAGTCCTTAAATTTACGAGAATTGCGCAAAAGAGCTCTTAATCATTCTTTACAACTGAATGTTAGTGGTTAAATAAAGAGAGAAGTGATGATGTCACAAAAACAACATTTATGAAATTATCGAATAGGTTGCCATATTTAGAAAGAATTAGATGAAAAAGTTCCACTTGCTAAAAGTAAGACTGTTGATGCAAATTTCTCTGATGACTCCACATAAATTCTTCCAAAATAGGCCTGGGGACCGTTTTTCCCGGTAACTTTTCGGGCTCGGAAAGCTATTTTATACTCACCATGTTTGCATACAAGATCAAAGTTTCAATAATTTTGAAAATAATGATGTAGTGTAACTATCAGTTAACGAAGCAAAATTGACTGTTTTGTGTGCTAGGAACCGTGCTACTATTCTGCAGGTTTTGATTTTAAAATTTGCCTTTGGGCCAGAAAAGTTACAGGGCCTTTCGAGAAAGGGGCCCCTGGGAGGATCTTAAACTTTACGATCCAAGCCAAGGATTTTTATGGAGCCATCAGAACATAGTATGCTAACCAATTCCATAATTTCATTAATTTGAATTTTTGTGACGTCACCCTTTCCTTCTCTATACAGGTAGTCACCCTTTCTCCTTTGCCAACTCAGCACACTTGTCAACTACACTTTTCACATTTTTCCAGTCAAGTTCCGAACGGAAGTTTCCCAAAAGCTTTGGCAAGGGCCTGGGCTCAACAGCGCTGTCATGGAAACAGCCAACAGGTTCGTAATCACCTCCTAAAATGGAAATTGATTAAGGAAATTAGGCGTGAAACATTGTTTAATGCAGAATCAAATAACAAGTGCTCATAACTTACTTCTCTTTAATAAAAAAATGAATGTAAGTAGCTGAATCAAAAGCAGTTCATATTGGTTCAGTTATTAATCAGTTTAAGTACTTTACTTACTTATAGCAGGCGTCGGCATGGACTGGACTGAAAACCAAATAAACATAAACTTTTAATTTATTTATTTGCCAAAATAAACTCCAACATCTTTTTTAAGAAAACTACTTTTGTTCTAATTAATAATAAATCGAAATATTGTACACTAGTAAATCCCTGGGAAAAGATGCAAAAAATTTTCAAGTAAATAAGCAAGGATGTCTCATTTCCCACAAGCTTCACAATGAAGTGAGTGTAAGTATACCGGCAGTCGCAGCATTTCAGTATCTTCTTCTATGTTTCGCTCTCTGTCTACCGGTCTGTCTTTGTCCTTACCGTTTCCTTAGGCCCGGTTCAGACGCCGAACTTTTCATGCGCCGAACCTAATACATTGAATTAAGTACTTGACGAGTTCGGCGTCTGAATCAATTAGGAACGCCTTTTTCAAGCAGTTTGACCGAGATCAACATATTTCTCCTTTTGAACCCAGTTCAGCTGCAATTATGATCGGCGTCTGAATCGATTCAGCCGGTCTAAATAATTTGGGTCGGCCTTAATTCGAACTAGGTTCTGCTCATGAAAGTTCGGCGTTTGAACCGGGCCTTAGTGGTCATCGTCAGAACTAGTGGCTTTAACTTTTTTATCGTAAGGTTTAGGGTTGCGTGGTCATTTTGTGCAAAGGTGTCTCTGATGTGAGAAGTACTTGTCATTGAAAGTGGACAAAGTAGGCATTATGTTTGTAGTATAAGGTTCACTTTTGCATCTTGTAGGTATCTGGGTTATCTGAGGCGTGTCAAAAACTAGTTGTTTTCTTTTCAATAGTAGTTTATTAAATTTATCTTTTTAAGCTTTATGTTGTTGCAATTCCGGCCCTTGGAAAAAACCTGGTACTTCTCTATTCTCTAAGGAAATGGAAAACTGTGCAAAAGCGGAGAATTCTCTTCCACAACAAGAACAACTCCTTTTAAATGCGTCTGAGCAGACATTGCCTCTAGGAAGTTATTGTAGGTGGCGTTATGATCTCTTGACCGATTGAAACTTTTTTATAAAAACAATTTGAATGGTTATAACGTATATGTTAATTGAACGATAAGTTATTACCTATGTCGCAATGTTGACCTGTCGTTCCTGATGGACATTCGCATCTGTATGAGCCTGACTCATTGTAGCATGTCCCCTGATTCTTACATGGATTGTTTTGGCACTCATCGATGTCTATTTTATATTATAAGATAGTCCAATAAAATACAAAAGATTAATGGCAGCACAAAGCAATGATTGGAATGCGAGTCGAACTCACATAGATTGAAAGTGAATGATGTAGCAAAATAACTTAAGCCTTTTAGTCTTGAAACGTGGAATGACTCTGGTAAAGGTTGATGTTGAAATACACTACCATTATTGATAGTAGAGGCGTTTTGGCGGAGCGGTTAACACCGACGTGATAATTCGGTTTCAAGCCTTGCCTTAGTGAACATTGCGCTTTTTCTCTCTTCGCCCAGGCGTACAAACGGGTATCTAGCTAAGCGAATAGACTAGCATCCCATGCAGGGGCGCGGGAAGGAGGGGGGTCGGATGTGGGGTGTGTGGTGTGGGGTGTTGGTGCTAATGTTCCAAGTTGCTTCATGTTTAGAAATTATTAGTAAACGAAGGCCTTCTGGGCCTCATGGCTCGTGTTCGCCTTTTGCTTATACCGCCATTATTGACACAAACACATATGGCCATTTTACTATTATTTCAAAGAACAATGTTGGTTAACCGGCCCACAGGCCTACTTTATGTGTACTGACGGGACAATGACAAAATGGAGAAAATTTCAAGCTTACCCTCTGAGCAGTAGAAGCCTTCAAATCCAGCAGGACAGATACATCTGTAGCCAGCCATGTCATTCACACATGTAGCGCCGTTTTGACAGTAATGACTCGCGCATTCGTCAATGTCTGAAATAGTTTATGTGAGATAACTCTTACAACAATTTTCTATCCTGACAGTTATTTTTGTTATTCCATTTCTATTTTACTTATTTTGTTGCTAAGACGGCTAATATTACTAAATGTATAAAATTAGACTACTAAACAAGGCTTACCATGCTCACAATCCTTTCCTTCCCATCCCGGCATGCACTCACACACGTACCCACCACCTGTGTTACGGCATGTACCTCCGTTTTGACAGGGAAACAGCTCACATTCATTCACATCTGTAAAGGGATATCATATCGTCACATTAAAGGTTTCTTCTTTCCCAAAAAGAGTTTTTGATTCAACTCTAAATGCTATCATCTTGGTATTTTTCAATTCATTTTTGCTTTCCTTTCATTTGCTTTGTTATTGCTGTCCCTGTTTAATTTCGCTGTCCTCCTTGTTTTTCTTAACCTGAAACCTAACATACCTTCACCGAAAGTGTGAAATTTTGAAGTCCAACGTGGGGGTTATTTGGGGTCTTATCGGTATTACACTGTTCCATTAACTCGCTGTCTTTGTAGGAAACCTCTTCTCTTAAACTATCACTTTGCAAAATTCACATCGCACCTTCATCACAGTTTTTTCCACTCCACTGTGGCAAACAGCTGCAGGAGTATCCTCCATCTTTGTTATCGCAAGTTCCTCCGTTTTGGCACGGGTTCTGTTTGCATTGATCTAGCACTAAAGAAATAAACGTTTTTCACTTTATTACAACATCATCCTATATTGGAAATTTAGGTAAATAAGTTGTACGTTTACAACATCGAAATGAGGGTAAACTCAGGGGCACCCAACGGCAATTTTCGGGAAAATATCTGGTCGGAAGACGATTTGAGATCTAGAATTTTCGGAAAATTTGTTGTAAAATTTCTTGCTTGCCTGCTCTCCTAGGATTTTCGAACATCTACAAAATGGTATAATTACCCATTTTTAACGGAATTTGACCCCAAAAACGGCGACCTAGAATTTTCGAGAGCCTTTTCCTGGCTAAAATTTTCGAGAAGGTAAGTTTTTACCCCTATAATTTTCGGATCACTGGACTTTCAGCTAGGAAATCCGAACAGATGAAAAGTTTTTAGGGGATAAAAATATGCCTATATCTACCGTTTGAATACTAAAATACGTTCAACAATGCTATGTTAAGTGGTTTTGAACTATATCCTTGTTGGGTGCCCCTGTAAACTATCTGTCCACCAATAAATAGGAAGAGGTCCATGAGCTACAATCTAGAAAGTCTGGAACTTTTGTCTATCTGCATTTTATCCACGTGGGCCTCAGATTGCACACTACCGGGCTGACCGCCAAACAGCACTGCGGTCAAAATGTTTGTGTAGCACATTTCTGAGTGGGAGACTTCTTCATTTCCCTCTGGCCATGGTAGTGAGAGAGTAGTTTGAGAGTTTATGATAATAACATCATTTTCCATTAGGGGTGTATTAAAGAGGTATGCCTGGCCAAACCTTGTTCACAGTGCTTCCCACCATATCCAGCATCACACTTGCAAGTGTAGGCTCCATCGGTGTTTTCGCAACTGCCCCCGTTCTGACACGGACTTGAATTGCACTCATCGACATCTGTAACCGCAAAAGTAATGATAATAAAATTGTATATAATGTACCCCTGAAGAGTGAAGAAACAACAGCTGCAATTTATGTTAGGACATATTTCCTTTTTTCTTTCCAACACCAAGCATTGCAAACGTGTCGGCGTGAACGTATAGCATGTTATGCCATAATGTTTGCTTGAAGCTTAACGTACCTTTGTCGCACTGATCTCCAGTCCAACCCGCACCACACTGACATTGGTACCCTCCGTCATTGTTAACACAAGTCGCACCATTTTTGCAGGGGCTGGTAAGACATTCATCAACATCTAGGAGATTAAAGTGATTATCATAAAGTTCAGTCATAGCGGTAAATAGTCGAATAAATGGCTCTGACTGTAGGCATACACATGCTGCATGCTGTAAGTAACAAACTTAGAGCTGGATCTCTGTCTTTTCCTGAAACGTCCATCAAAAAGAAGCGAAAGAAAAGAAATTTTTAATTTAACATCTCCAGCTTTTTTGTCTGTCTTCAACAGCCATATTGCTTCAGTTCTATCAGGAGTATCTGCACAACATAGACGTTGCCTTGGTGGTGTACGGCCAGCTTAAGCAGTTAATCAAGCAGGTAAGTGACGGTCAGTTATAAGTCAAAAAATAAATGAGGCTAGCGCAGCACGACACCGCCGAATTGGTATGTCTCTTGGGCTTTTTCGGAACAGTGCGTCATTGTCATGATAATTGTAAAGGTAACTAACCAGCTGACTGAAAACTTACCAGTTTCACAGTCTTTTCCAGTCCAACCTGAAGGACAGGTGCAGACGTATTTTCCATATTTATTTGTACATGTACCTCCATTTTTGCATGGGCTTTTGTCGCACTCATTGATGTCTGTAGAAAAAGATTGATGTGAAAAAGTAAGCTTCAATGTCAGCTTTCCCGACCTATTTGACAAGTGATAAGTGTAAAAGCAGCTTGAATTGCTTGTTAAACAGTAAGATGTTAATTACTGCTTTAAAGTACGTGTATAACTATAATTTTTCCGTGATAGATGTGTATCAAATAAATCATATCATTTTCTGCTAGTTACCATACTTCCTTGGACATTTATCACGTTGTTTCTTAAAATCTTACTTTAAGCCTCGATCAACAGTTAAACAATTTTTTAAAGCCGTTTTTCCCTTTCATTTTTTTTTCCATCTACATCGGCTAGTACAGTGATTCCATAGAGGTAAGGCGTATTTTAAAGGTCGAACTTAATATGTGCCGACTGATACAAAAAAGCAAGAAAAATAGCTATACAGATCTTCCTCATTAGAATCGGTACATTTGAGTTAAGTTTGATGTTTGAAACGAGCCTAAGGCAAAGATAGCTGTCACACTGGACTTTTTTCTCATCCTGTATGAAGGAGGTACATGTAGAAACCCTTACTCCACAAAAGAAAACAAAGCGTTGCCTTTTTTTCCACTAGCGTCTTCATCTCAGTCTACCAAGAGACATTCTCCTTTGATTCTACTTTAACACTTTCACCTAGCAATTACCTTCGTCACAATCCTTCCCAGTCCACCCTGCGGAACAGCTGCAACTGTAACTACCAGGCTTGTTGTTACACGTGGCTCCATTCTTGCAGGGCATGTTCAGACATTCATCTATATCTGCACACAGAATAACACAGATGAAGAATTCAGGTATTCGGAAAAATTTGCAAAAACCCATAAATATACAGACATGACATTTAACAACATATAACACATTGATAGAATCCGGCGCACGGGCTTGGCTTCTCTTCATGGATCAAGTCTAAGATAGAACAGAAATGTATTTCTGATCGAACCAAACATCCAATCACTTGGATTATTTTTTTCCTTCTCTTTCTTGTCCTTGGTTTTGGGGTAATCAGACTAAGGGTGTTGCTATTTTCTAATGGATTTTAAATCCTTTGCATTTGGTGAATTGGTGATCGCAACACTCGCAAAACCTCCTCTAACTACACTCGCGATGCAAAAGGATTCTTAAACGCCTACCAATTTCACAATTTTTTCCTTTAAATCCAGAAGGACAGTTACATTTGTATGTTCCCAGCAAATTGACACATTTACCGCTGTTACAGAGAGCTGTGTTGTCCGCACATTCGTTTATGTCTGAAAAGAATGAAATGTAAAGAAACAACAACATAGCACAACAAATAACTTATTTACTTACATGGCCTATTATTACAGTTTAATAAACAGCGATAGTTGCAATAACATACTACCATAAAAACAACACAGTTCGAAAGGGCTGTGAAGTGCGCAAATTGCGTTATCATTATTATTTTTCATTTTGGCTTTTTGATTTAAAAAGTGTCTTTACCCTGATCGCAAATTGTTCCTTTCCAGCCTTCGGCACATGCGCATGTGTATCCACCGTTTGTATTAGTGCACTTTCCTCCATTTTTGCACGGCTTTTTCGTACACTCGTTCACATCTGCATTCAAGGAAGAAAAACAAACAATAGCAAAGAGTTGTTGAAACAGAGAAATATATTTGACTAAAGAAAATGAGCAAACGTTTCAGGTCCTGTAAGGTGACTTTTTAACGCGTGTTCGCTGTTAATCTGTTTTAATTTTAATTGAAACAAATTGAAAAAAATAAAAAAGACTGTAATACAGAAATCGTTGAATAAAAACAAATTTTTACCGCGTCCGTGTTGTGACAAGGAATTCAACTTAATTTTGGAACTCACTGCTGGTAGCTCAAACAAAACATAATTCATGTCGTTGCTTTATTATCTTTGTTTGTGACTCAGTAACCCTTGTTACCTCCATTCAAAGTTCCCAATTTCAAAAGATCTAGTGGTTGACTCGCGCATTACTGTTGGTTAAAACAGGCTAAAACAACATACCTGTGTCACAGTTTTTTCCAAGCCATCCGCTCGCACAAGTGCAACTGTATCCACCAAAGCTATTTTTGCAAGATCCTCCGTTCTTACATGGATTCGTAGCACACTCATCAACATCTATTGAACGCAATCAACACAGCTGAAAGTACACTACGATGGGTATAGGAAAACAGCTTCCTAGTAATACAATTTAATAAAGAGATACGTAGGAACGCCAAGGCTGACATAACAGTAGATTCGCCAACTTAACTTAAGGGCAGAGAAACTGATTATGCTATCTGGGGATACGAGGTAAAATTTAAGTCCAAAACGAAATATCTCTGGACGTCGGGGAAAGTAAAAAAAGTCGGACAAAATAAGTAAATTTCTCTTGATTTCTGACTTTTCATGTATCTTACCAGTCTCACAATTTTTTCCTGAGAACTCCTTACGGCAGGTACATTTGTAGGAACCAATAGTATTGACGCATGTTCCACCATTTTTGCATGGATTTCCCTTAGCGCATTCATTTATGTCTGTGGGTAGAAGATGAGAGAAAGCTTTGCTATATTTACTTTACTTAACTGCGTCCTATGCCGATAAAATAAAATGGCGTATGAAGAATTTTAACAACGGGATGCAAGGCTGAAGTAAGCATTCCTGGAGGTATATTTGAATGTCAGTCTACTGATCGTTTACAAACGACTCTTAATTTAAAACTCTATTCCACAATCTTTTGGACTGATTTGAAAAATGTCCAAACCGCAATCATCGTGAAAAGTGTTTGGAAGGTTGGTACTTCTTACCTTTTTTCTTTCTTTCCTCCGCCCCTCGGCCAATGTTGAAAAAACTTAGAATAGGTGTTTGTGGGCGTAATTAATATGTTAACATTAAAATGAATTTATTTACTGCTAATATGTAAAACCTTTCCCACTAATTTTTTCCAGGAATTTCCGATAAAACTGTTTTAATATAGTGTACTAGCAGAGATGCACCCGTCAGAGATACACCCCTAAAAAAGGGTTTAAATCTTGAAAATCCAATGGAATATATTTTTTGTTATTTAATGGTAAGTTTAGAGAAAGTGAATGGAGTGTGGCCCTTCCAGATCTCGCGCACTATACGTCATCACTTTATGTCTGCATTTTGTGTCCATTTTATAGAATGAGATAGAAACTGAGAAAAATACCTTAGGGGAACTAACATGCTCCTGGCGACATAAGTATATTAATGCCAAATTGTTTCTGATTACCTGTGACTTCAACCGTTCCTACTCGCACTCCTCCTTCATAGTCATTCGCACGACATTTGTATTCCAGAAGCTCATACACCTGAGTAACAGTTTTAGCACATTTATCAGAAGGTTGCTTTGATACTGCATGTTAGAAAAAGCTTACCTTTGCTTCTGCTTGATCACCCTTTCTATTCCCTCCCCACGCCTTCCCCACCTCAAAAGGTGTCATAATTGGTTATTAGTCTTTTTTAGGAAAGGTGTAAAAAAAACTGAGAACATTAATTATAGTAAAACTTATTCACCTGTTGGTGTTTAAAGAGTAATACACGGGTCATGAACAGCAAATAGGACGTGATAGTTAGCTGGATAATTAAAGGCTTTCTAGATCGAATTACGTCCGGTAGAACTTGTACATGTGTATAGGCACTGCAGTCGAACATTAATGTGCGACTCCCAGCCATACGCGACAATCTATCCAAAAAACTGCATGTTTCCAGTCAAAGTGCTATAGTTAGAATTCTCTCAAAGGAGATAAACTCTCTTAAGAAAGCGTTAGTACAGTTTGCGAATAATGGCATAAGCGACCACGCTCTGATTCTTTGACGGTGTTGGAGAAGCTGAAGCCCGGTCTGACCTTCGGAAGCGACCACTTACAGGTTTTTAGCAATTTTGATCTATCGCTTACGAGAGGTTCGACTCTACTTAAGCTCACCCTGATGCTGTATTTTCCTGGCATTTTTGATACTTTGATGTCTTTTTTCACGCAGATTGGCTTACAAAGAAGATCGTAGCCCGCGTTAATGTGCGCGGCGCACACACTCGCTCCACCCTTTGCGTGGAAGTACACTTGACGAATACACCTGGGACAGTAGATGTTCTGTTTACAATACTTGTAGCAGCCTGGTTAAAAAGTAAAGTAAACGTAAAAAAAAATAAATTAGAGAATATTTTACTTATATTAATGTATACATTTCTCTTTTCTTTCTTTCTGTTTTTTTCCCTGAAGAATAGGAGTTGAATGTGAAGAATAATTTATATATATATTTTGATTTGCTTGCATTGATCTCAAGAATACTAACAGGTAATTTTATATGATTCTTACCAAAGAAATATAGTATAAAAAAATATCTTGATTTAAAACCGTCACGATCTTTTTTTTCGTGAGCTTCCCATAAGAAACTCCAGAATTGTTGAAATCCTATAAAGTCGTTTGAAGTAATTGACTTTGCTTACCTGAAAGCAAGTGAATATTTCAATCGAAGTTAAAAATCTGAGCGATTTTGCAACGCGGCACATATATGTTATGGGTTCAATATTTTCATGGCGCAGATTTGTGGACTTACCCTTAACTGAGATTGTACCTCCTTGTGGGGCGGTGAAAGTGTTTCGTCCTTCAATCCAGTATAATGGATCTGAAATGTTGGAAATGCAGTATACTCAGTTAAACAGATCTAAAGAGTAAAAGCGCTTTAGGAATCTAGGCAAGAGTTTTACAAGTACAACAACCGAATATCAACAAAATTCAGCACCACTCAAAAAAATCTGCAAAAGCTAAAAAAGGCTAGAAAATCCCTGCAAAAGCCCTGGGGACGAGGTTGAGGGAACTTGAAAGTTTAAATCGAGTGACAGAATAATTAGACCACGCTGACTCATAATCAGAAACCCAGAAAATGGAGTAAAGGATTCGGGAAAGCATGCAGAGGACTGCTCAATTTATCCAGATGACAAGACAAAACTAATACATTTGTATAGAATTTCTTGTCACTTACTTCCAACTTGTATTGACCCAAGGACGACTCCTTTTGCGTTGTCAGGTATAGTGCCGCACTTATATTCAAGCAAGCTGTATGCCTATAACATACGCACACACAAAATGTAAAAGTTAAAAAAAAAAAATGAAATAATGATAATATCGATACTGATAATAATAATGATGATGACGATGATAGGAACGGCCAGTATTTTGAGGAGGGAATTCAACAACATTAAACATCAACTCAAATGCGAAATTAACTCATTCCGTGAAAAAGCTGACTACCGCCTTTTTTTCTTGTAGCCGGGATAAGTTTGCTAATGATAAGTATATATAGACTACACATTAGTCCATCAAATAGATCTATAAAAGATGTAGTATCGGTTAGCGGCTAGTAGTGCAAATTTGTTAGCTGGGCAATTCTAACCAACAAAACTAAAATGTTTTGTTTTATATTTCTCGAATATTTTAGTTGCATTTATACTTACGGTGATTTTGTAAATCCCATCTTTCATAGGCACTTTCATTTTGGCGCTGAATTTATACCTCCAGCAGTTCCATAATTTCACAGGAATTTTTTTAGCTAAGCACGTGCTAGATTCACCAAACTTCAAATACATAACTCGGATGCAGGTAGGACAGTAGATTGGTTTGCAGAATTTGAAGGCACCTTTATCAAGGGAGGAAAAAGTAATAATTTTCCTTGTATATGTTGCAGTTCTATTTTATCCTTGGTTTAATTCTTATTTTCCTTTGTTTCAAGCTCATTAACATACATTATCATATCCAAAAAGAAAGGAAAATATAAATTGAATCAAGGATAAAATAAAACCACGACATATATACATGTATCACCTCACTGGCTCACAAATACGAATACATTCTCGCTACATAGGTTTTTGCTTGTCAAAAATGCTCCGAAAGATAATAAGAACTTGTGGTAGTGGTGACAGTAGTTCAGTTCCATGTTAAGGTAGATTAAGACAATTTTTGGTATGGAAAAAAAGAGCTTCCACAAAATAGGATGATACACATTAAAGTCTAAGTCAGCGAACTTATGCGAACTTAACTGAATGCTATTTTACGACTATTTTTTTTACTATTTACTGCTAACATCACCAAACATAACCGGTTTGATAATCCTCGATGTTTTTGAAAACACAAATAAACTGTTTTTCTTTCCGTCAAGATTTTTGGTGGTTTAGTAGCTAACAGACAAGGCTATGATGAACTTTAGTAATACAATGTTACCTCTGAGCTCTATCTCTGCTCCTGGTAGCTCGTTGAAGTTTTTCGTGTAAAGTTCCATATGCTCGCCTGTTAGAAACACACACATATAACACAACCAGTTTTGAGTAAAGGCTTTTGCATCTTTCGAATAAAATAGAAAAGTTATGACCGACAGGTTTTTATCTCTAAAGCCCTTCATTGGCTGCCAAAGGTTATTAGCTCTTAGGCCTATCTTTTCGCATGACAACTCTGAACACGTTATTAATTTAAATTGAAGCCCCTTGTAACTTCTTCTGCTTTTATTTACGTCAAGTAAACTAATGTCAGACAGAAGAGTAAATTAAGGCGGCTAAATGCAGTTTTTCCCCAATATCAGCGTACGTAATGTGACAAACAAAACGATTAATTTTGTCGACACGAAAACAGACGTTCATCAGTACCTTTATGACTCCCATGACGAGACTTCTGACTGGCGAGAACGAGCAATGACTTTGTCCACAAAAAATTGTCGAGAAGTTTTTCTCTGATATGAAGGCGATTTGCCTCGATGCAGTTTGCAAAATACTAAAACTAAACTATATGTAACTATTTTGTCAACAAATAAATTTTCTTTCTTGTTCCGGTCCTGTTTTTACAAAAGAAACAGTATTATCATCCACAAATCCAGAATGAAGTGAGGTTTAAAAAATCCTATTAAATGTCACCTTACTCCCTTTTCAGTGGTGAATGTTCGGTTGTGGTAACCACGCTGTGACAGACCGTGCAACGATCGGATAGTCCAAAACACACTTTAGCTTGAAAAATGGCAGCCTCAGCTACAGATCAAAGGCAATCCCGGAGTGCACGCGCCATCTCCGGGGTTTTCCCCGAAAAGTGACGCATGCGCAATAGTTTCGTCCGTGGAGATCGTAAAAAGACAATTCTACGAATCTCCACGCTAAATTTCTCAAAAGCTAGCCGTACCACCTGGGTTCAAATTTTGAGGATAATTAGAAAACATGAAAACGAAACCGGAAACATTTTTCAAACAAATCCTATAGACAGTTTTTAGTTATTATAAAAAGAGTCAACATTCCACATTTTTGGCTTTTGCAAAAAAATTCTGTCCATAGTATTTCTCTTTAAAAACAGCAATTTCTAAGTATTTAATAAATTCTGAAATTTTCAGATGGGGTCGTAAGGCCTTTAAAGGACTAGTTTCCAGACCTCTTTTTGGGTGCTCAGTCATTACATTTCGCGTTCTACTACGCAATAAAATGTTTTTAGAAGGTAAAACGATACTGAATTTACATCAATTGTATTGATTAAAAGTTCAGTAGTTACCTTTGATTGCTAAAAATGTTCCAATTTGGAAAAGGCTATAGTTTTCATCCGAAAACTATAGCAAGCCACCTTAAGCTTAGAAAATCGACTCTTTATCAAATGGCCACCCTTGACTCAGCGAACGGTATACTCGAGATTCATAGCACACAGCTATCAATAAATCCCTTAAGTCGCCCTTCCCTGAGGGCCGGATAACCATTAAAAAGGGACTCGTCTACAGAAGTACAAAGGTGAAAATAATAATAGCAGACAAATGCATGATCTAAACAACTTACCAGCACGAATTTCCTCTGAGGCTGCATGGTTAATCCACAACGCGAGTACAGCGAAAAGTAGCATCTTGTTTCACCTAAAAAAGGGCTGGATTAGCCTATTGCTTCCTTGCAAAACTAGACATGCCGATTTTATTGTTACCATTCGCACCCTTCAGACGACAAATCTAATTTGAAAGGATGACGTAAATGAGCAAAGAAGACCCCTATTTTAGCCATTTTTTAAGTTACCCTAGCTGGTGTTGTCTTACTGGCAAATAGGTTCTGAGAAGATAATTTCGACTTTCTAGTTAGATGGCTTAACAATTGAATAAAACTTCGCTTAGTATGAGACGGATTATTCATCTCTTCAGTTTCATAGTGTGGCTGAAATTAAACCACTCAGTTGAAGGATGTCATGGATTGCTTTCATTTAAAATACTTCAATCGAGTTGAACAAGTTTACCATGAATTTTGTCGGTTTCTCTCTTCGATTTCAAACGTACTGAAAATCAGTCTTGCTCACCTTCAAGAAGTACGACGGGGCTTAAGGAGTTTGTACAGCCCACGGCAAATGGCACTCAATATAAAAGAGGCGAGCCCCTTTATGGCACAAAATGTGCGTTGTTAGTAAAGAACGTCCTTTCAGGCGAAGCTGTTTAAACTGTGATTCACTTGGGTGTTAACTGAAACTAATTGATTTTCTAACCTACAGTAATGAAACAAAGCACTAAGCTTTCCTGTTTTACTCTTCAAAAGTAAGACAAAAGAAGAATAAAAACGAATACTTTTGTATTTCTACATCTAAAAATTATTTAGAAATGATTCCAGCAGCAAATCTGATCTCACTGATGTGTGTGCTCCTTTACAGAACCTTAACTTCCATAGGAAACAGAAAGCTATTTGATCAAGTTCATTTTTCCGGTTACCGAGCATGGAAGTCTTTGTTAATAACCCTTCAAAGTGTTCCCTATCATTATTTTGAGTTAATCAGGAAGATTTTACTGGAAGAGGCTTTGGTATCCCTATATGAACACATTACCGGTGGAAAGGTTTCGGTACTTTTAGGAATTAAGAAATATTAGCAAAAGGAAAATAATTAGCGAAGTAACAAAATGGTTTATTGTTTGGTCATTTCTTGTCTTAACAAAATAAAACTAACATTTTGACTTACTTTGAACCAAAACGATCTTCTGTTAAGGATCTGAAATGTCATTTTTATCAGTGAAAAAAGCTAATCTGAAGCAAATAATGGGAAGCTGTTAAGCTGGCAATTATTGTAAACACAAGAAATAAATGACCGCAGAGTGTGGACATAGTATTTAAAGCATTCTTTCCTGTTCTTTTTTTCCACGAGGCCGGTGAAAATAATAGAAACATTCAGGAAACCTCTGCTATTCTGAATTCTTGAATAGCAAAGCTAGAAATTTTCCAAATTTTCTCTTTTAATTAATAAATAGACGAAAACAGTTGATTAAGCTAACACTTAGTCGCGGAAGTATTTTTAGTTCATAATCAAATGTTTTCTGTGGAATACGATATGACCCAGCCTAAACATATCACTCCTCAAAATAAAATAAATCGTTAAACAATTGTTTACAAAATTAAATCATTCATTGGTCATAAGCAATCATATTGCTTATGACCAAAAAAAAAAATAACCCAAATGTAACAATCATATCACCAGGTTTAATTTTATTACTGTCAAAGGAGTATTGTGGTGTTCGCTAATTCATTTACACATCGAATCTCTGTGTACACAGCTAGTTTGACTTTACACTTGACGCACAAATAGGCAAAAGTAACAATGGAAATTAAGAAATCCTTTAATCAAGGTTAAGTAAATAGTTTCGGAAAGTTGAAAGGACTAAACAACCGGCGAGACGATTGCGTTAATTTGATTTTTTGGGAACAGTTAAAAAAAAATCTTCATTTACTAGGGCTCCGTCCACATAGTATCCAGATATTTTGAAAACAGAGATTTTTTTCTCCACTTTAGTCTTCCATAACTTCAGCGAACGACTGTTTTTGAAAACGGTCCTCAGAATAATTTTTTTTTCTAAATAGCCCATGATTGCGTTTTCCTTCACTTAATGTGCGGGAAGAAGAGATTGGACTACGTTACGCTTTACGAGTATTTCTTGAAGACGGAGAAAAAAAATCTCCGTTATAATTTTAAAAAGTGCCCTAAGGGACCTAAATCTCCTCGCTCTTACGTTTTTGACATTTCCCTGCCATTTCCGACATATATTTGTGGCCAAGTTGTTCATTATCGTTATGAGAAATCTGGAGGCTTTATCTGAAGGTTTTTACTTGCATAATATGTATCGCTACTTAGAAATAAATAAATTATATTGAAGTTTACATGAGCTGGGTGCTTATCCCTCTCATTCTTCAAGCTCCTGAGTTTCACTAAAAAAAATTGGCAGAAAAGGCAGCATTATAGTATTCTTATGGATATCAAGAAGAAAAGAGATAAAGAGCTAATAATAATAATAATAATAATAATAGTGCTAATAACAATAAAAAATAATGATTTACTTATTACGACACAACAAATGTATTACAAACCCTGACTTTTCCTCTCACTGCCATCTGTGGCTTTGCAAACGGACTAGAAGATCAACCAATAAGAATAGAGAAAGCGATCAGTACCCATGTCTGAGCCGGTAGCGCTTCCGACTAGCTGAAATTTGCTTTATGCAATTAGAAGCACTACCCAGATCTGAATAGTGACGCGTCATGAGTATAGAATTTGTGCGCTCGTTTCTCAGGCGTCATTTCGCTTATACCTGCAGATCACATAATCTTTAAGATTCAAATTCTAATTAGTTGTCGCTATATACTTCCTCTAGAGGCGGTGCGAGAAGTTTTTTAGGAATCAATTACAGTCAACTTGAATTTCTTATTATCACGACTCTTTTTATATGATTCAGTTTGGAGAAATTTAATACGGGTCACTTAAATATATCGACTCCTTGCCTTCGTCCAACGCCCACCGTCAACCAGATATTAAAATTTACGAGCCTTGACACCTTGATCCTCGAGTTATGTACATGTGGTATACTAGTGAATTACTTGGTACACATCACGCCCCTGCCAAATCGAATCTAACCAGCTTTATGTTTTAGCATGATTGTCATTCCCTTGTCAAAAGTGACTTGAATCACGAGTTGAACATGTTCACTGACCTGGACCTTTCCTTATCGACACATATCGATACATAGACCAATAAATCGCAGTTTTGCAATTACTTAATTGACTAATCCCTTGTAGAGACCTGAAAGCAAAAAATTCTACGAAGTTTGAAGTCACTAAAAAAGAATGCAAAGTTTTTAAACAACGTAAAGGAAGAAGAACAAATATTGATCTTGAAATACTTCAAGCGGATTAAAATTTTAATTAAATCTTTAATACCGCCCACTTGGATCATGTGACAACTCTGTCGTCTTTAATCCGATACCACGGCTGTTTGTCACTCAACAAAAATTTTCAGCTGTCTTCACTGAGTTGTCTTGCGTTCAAAGGTGAGGTTGTAATCAAGATCATGGAGATGGAGATGCTTACAATCCATAGGCCAAGAAAACGGCGTGAAATTGTGTGCATCGTTTTGCTGGTACTGGTGGTTGCAGTTGCAGGATTTTTGATTGGATATTTCGCTGTGAAGAATGTTACTGAAGACGGGGTGAAGTGTCAATCCAATGACGGCGACAAGCCTAAACCGACATTTCCTACATCCAATAAGGAAAAATACCACAAGATGTTTCAAGATGAGATAAAGGCGAAGAATATCGAGCACAACCTCAAGTAAGAAACATTTCAATATTATTTGGTGAAGGCAAGGTATTTGCCACTAGGTTTTTATCTGTCTCAGTGCAACCAAAACTTCGTAAACTTCCACCTGAAGGAAAGACATATTATTGTACAGGTGAATTCGTGCATCGTGTATAGATGCTTTTGTCATACAAGATACTCATTCACGACGAAGACTGAGCTTAAAGTCAGAGTTTAACAGATATGCTTTTCTATTTTCTTGGAGCTTCATTTTCGCAGCTCTCGCCCTTACACTTGGAGGTCAGGCTATCTTAATAGCACGCAAATTATGTCAATTAATGTTGGCGGGTACTCTTTGGCAGTCTAAACTCAAAATATTTATGTGATAGAATGAAAATACAATTGTTTACATTTCTTGTCTTTTTGAGTAGATCAGAGATTAATTTATTGAACACATATCCTTAATAAAAATGAAAGTGTGCATGAGATTGTATTCTGTAAAGTAGCTCCAACACTTGTTCAACACTTTTTTTCCCTTAAAAAAACTCGCAAACAAATAGATGAGGCTCTCAAAAATGGATTACACTGCACATGTCAATAATTTGGCTTTTTTGGAGGTTTTAAATGTTTTGTTGGCTATGGCAACGTGTACTTAGAAAACACAGAAGACATTTTATTTATTTCCAAAATGTTTCTTTTCTTATAATTTTTTTCTAGATAAAAAGAAACAACAAATAAACAAAAAATACAAATAAGGCAAAGCAAGGAACTTACCGCAAACTAATAAAAAAAATAAATAGGTCGTTATCATGCAAATATTGTTATCGGAAATATGTTAGAGCCCGGTCACAATACCTTTCGCCGCATTACAACTGCAACCATAAGAAAATTGGTACTGAGACGAGACCGGCCAGTTCTTGGCGAGGTAACCACGACATGCAGCCTTAGCCCAATTCAATACGGGCAAGTAACAGGTCCCTGCCCCCATAAAAGATTTATAGACCACACCATAGGGTTCGAACGATCCTTGAAGCTTGTTTGCTTTAAAGTGACACCAAAAATAGCTGAAATCGTGCTTTTGTGATCACCCACACGGTAAAGATATTTATTGAAAATAGAATCCACTCTGGAGTCGCTTAAAAGTACAAGTTTTTTTATTTGGTTTTAACCGTCATTATTCTAACATCCAAAATTTTATCACACTCTGTAATCTTTGTCCAGAGTCTGTTAGGAAAGAGTTAAAGACTGATGTGATTGTTTTTACAGACGATAAAGGCACGTTAACACCTGTCACACGAGCTACTGAGCTTCCAGCTTCGCACAGAGTACAGTGTTTGAATATCAAATAGAATTAGGTTCGCGTTAAGAGTCGGACTTGACATGTACATGCAAATGATTTTCATCAATAAAATTAAATTGGCTCATTTGAAGTTCGACATATAAAACGGTCCTTAACTATCGAGTCTACTGTCTTTTCCTTCACCTTATTTTTCTTTTGTCGTTTCAGATTTTATACCTCGCAGCCTCATATTGCTGGATCTAAACGCCAACATGATCTTGCATTACATTTAGCTGACAAATGGCGCACCTATGGATTTGATAAGGTAGAAATGCCTGAGTATAAAGTGTTACTTTCTCTTCCTCAAGAAGACAAACCTAACAAAGTGGAACTTATCAGCAATGGCACAACTCAATTTACGATACTGGGAAAAATAAAGGTACGTTGGGTTCATTCTATAACGTACAATGTAACTATAATATTCTTTTTTAGTCCACCGCGACATGCAAAAACAAAAAAACAAACAAACAAACAGACAAAAAAAGTTGGTTTAATTGTTTTTGTCTTGGTTTGTTTGTTCCTTTTGTTATTATAAAAGATGCATTTAAATTCTTGGATCATTTTTTCTAAAATCGTTGCTGCCGACAGGCCTTATTCAAAACACCATAATTATACTCTTTGCTTTCCCTTTAAAATAGCGCAAAAGCACTCTTTTCAATTTTCCCTGGGACTTACAGTCATCTCGAGAATATGACCTATTTCAGGTGTTTGGAGATATATTCCTTGTTTTGTAACCGCATTGAGGTTTCTCTTACTGTCACGTGACTTTGGCTGAACTATCACGAGACGAGTGTAAATCTTTCTTAGGCTCAACTAGGTTGACATCGGGGTGAAATCAGAATAACTTCCATGAAACCTTTGATTACTGCTGTTTATATATTTTCGCCGCAAAAAGTTCTACCAGAAAGGGTCGCTTTAAGATTTGGCACGATTCACCTCTGACTTGTGGAAATTGAGAGCCGTTATGGTTCGTAGTTTCACGGGTCTCTGAGCTGACGCTTCCAGGCAATTGAAATTGAACAAGGTCCATAATGAATTAGATTACTTTCCGGGAATACTTAGACTACCCTCGCCCCTCTCTCCTTTCATGAGTCAATTGCCTAGCTCCTTCCTCTTTGACAGACATGCATACCTATGACTGGCTTTGCAAAATAACATACTGACCGAGTAGTGTCATAATGGGAACTTGAAAGAGCTCCTGGCCATAAAATCATGGTATTGTACTTTATGATCATCATATCGGCTCATGTAATTACTTTTAATGGTGAAACCTCAACCAATTCATAAAAAAAACGTGTTATGATAATTATGAATATCTTACGCTATCTTTTTCTTTACTCAGGTTAAACCAGAGCCTTCTGCAAACGAAACTTATGACTATTTTCCGTATTTCGGATATGCTCCAAATGGGACTGTTGAGGGCGAACTTCTTTACATCAATCAAGGTTCACTGAAGGACATCAGTTTCCTGCGGAGTCATAATATATCTGTAAAGGATAAAATAGTGATTATCAGGGGACAGTTCGCATCGGTAGGTAAACTTCAATAGCACACTCTGGTGGAGCGCTTCATGTCGAACAGTAAAATTCCTTATTGTAGTGCCCCTGAAAGTAGGATCTCACCAAGAGTTGCGATCAAATTTCACAATTCTTTAGTAAATTCCCTCATCAATGACCCTACGAAAGTAACTACTCGGCTTCGAAAGTAGCGCCCTCAACAGTTATTTCCTCAGTTACCAAAAAATCGCGAACTTTTACGTATACAAAAAAATATGTGAGGCTTATTTTCGGTGTGAAATCTAATTACAAGTTTTAATTAGCAGTAAGGATCGAACTTGTTATCGTAAAATTCTTTTTAACGGGATATTGATTGAGTTCGTTGAGGTTACGGGATAGAGAAAACTTGCAGATCGCGGGCTGGGAAAAATTCATATTAGCGTTCTTGAGGACAGATCAAAATCAGTCTGCCTGCAGACATCTCCCACCAAATTTTAGATAACAAACCCTTAACCGCAATAACAACAAAAAAACAAACAAATTTGAGTCGTTAAGTATTACTTACTCGTTTAGAATAATTCCAATCAATAACTAACAAGCAACTAAGCTTTCTGTTGCCTCTCCGCAAGTGTCTGACTTAGGATGGTCACGTGATCTCAAGACCATGTTGTCTTCTGTCATCGTGGAATGTGGAAAGTAAATCGTAGCCCCCATATATATTCACGGTCATGAGCAAGCGTCTAATATAAGTAGCCTGTTTGCTGTTTGTTAGTTTGTTTTACCATTTAACTTCCGCGTTTCCGGGTAGATTATCTTGAACTACTCTCAAACTTTCTCCCATGGTTAGTCTTGGACTAGTGTTGCAGCTTAACCACAAAATAAATCTGTAGGAGACACAGTACATGATGCTTTTCATGTCAATCTACCAATTAGAATTACAGTATGAATATTAACTTGAAAATTTCGAATAAATCGTTTCAATCAGTACTTGACCGAGCAAACCCTTGTTTCTTGATCACCAGATAAGTGTCGCTGCAGCGTCTGGTGCTATTGGAGCCCTTGTCTTCATAGAGCCCAAATCCGGACACAGTCCAAATGAAAGCTACCCTTACACACCCTGGACGTCAGGCGAAGCCATAATGGAAAGGCCGATGGCGCAAAATTTAGGAGATCCACTGACACCTGGATTACCAGCCATCGACGACATGTACCGTGGGCCTAAGAACCTTACAAACTTTGCCTCAATACCTACACAGCCGATTTCATACAATGATGCAATGCATTTGCTGAAACATCTTAAAGGTAAATACATTATATTGAGAAAGATGTTTATTCAGTCAGTAACACAGGCGGCTCGGATGAAAAAATCCGAATACTCCTCCCAATGGAAGTCGAACCTATGACCTCTAGGTACTAGAAAAGATGCTCTACCACTGGACTGGAATGCTGATATGTGCTTATACGAAAAGATAGAAATGTGATGGTGAATTTTAAGCCTGATGAATACACGACAAGGATGTTTATTCGGTCAGTGCTCCTAAAAGGAGTTGGACCCATGGCATTCTGTTTACTTGTCTAGACGTTCTAAAACTAAGTTAAAGCTATATTAATTTTTCATGACAAGAAATGTTTTAACAGTTCTTTTTCCGTGCATGGTCACTTGGATTGAGATATTTGTAATAATAATAGCTGCGGTTACACCTTGGATCTAGCCATGGAATAGCAACTTTACTTGTCGTGTGATGATGATCTTCTCCAGCTGAAATTGCCTATGAAATGTTTCCAGGGAAACCTAAAAAAGATGACAGCTGCAGAGGTAAATCCAAGGGGTTTACAGAACCTAACATTCATTACGTTCTTTCCATGGTTATTCACGCGCCTTGGTTTTTTCCTGTTAGGTATGCAAGCGCCAAGAGATTGGCAAGGAGTGACAAACGCTTCCTTCAATGTTGGACCAGGCTTCAACATATCGAACTCAACTATTCGATTGGAAATCAACAACAAGATCGTCATGAAATCCATATATAACGTCATCGGAACTATTTACGGCCAAGAGGAACCGGACAGATATGTTTTGATTGGCAGTCATCGAGACGCCTGGCTGTTTGGAGCAGCAGATCCTTCAAGTGGCACAGCAGCTCTGACAGAAATATCAAGGGCAGTTGGGAAGATGTTAAAAGGTGGGTGGCGACCGCGAAGGACAGTTAAGTTCTGTAGCTGGGGAGCGGAGGAGTTTGGATTGGTTGGGTCAATAGAGTGGGTGGAGGAAAATGCGAAAATCCTTCAAGAAAGAGCCGTTGTTTACTTGAATACAGACGTGGCAGTTGGTGGTCGCTACGTTCTCGTAACTCAGAATTGTCCACTTCTATCACACGTCATCTTCTCTTGGGCCAAAAAAGTTAAAGATCCAAACGCACATGGCAATAAAACCAGCCTGTACGACATTATGGTTGAGCGAAACCCATCTAAAAATAATCCTGGAGAGCCTTATGTTGTTCCATACCAATATATGAGCGACTATTTTCCGTTCTATAGGTACTATGGCATACCATCGGCTGACTTTAGCTACTTCTTCGGTTCTGGGAATCCTGTGTCGCTCTATCCTGTCTACCACACTCAAGAAGACAACTTCTACTGGATGAAAACCTTTATCGATCCCAAGTTTGAGTTTCACGAGGCAGTAACCAAGTTTGAAGGAGGTTTGTTGATCGATTTGGCGGATTCTTCTTTGTTGTCATTTGACGTAGTGCGTTACGCAAATGAGGTAGTAAACAGTTTGAAATCACTTCCCGATCGCGTGGGGAACCAAACCGTTTCTACTAAGATTATTCATAGGGCCGTATTAAATTTTATAAACGCCAGCAAGTCTTTTGAGAAAGCAAAGTCCAAATTAAATCTGGCTTCAACGAGTCCATTAGTTTTACGCCGGTTCAATGATCAAATGGTGCAAGTAGAGAAAGCATTTATTGGCAAGTCGGGGCACGTCGTTCCGTGGTCAAAATTCTCTTTCCGGGCAATAAGAATGGCGTTCTTGTCAGGAAAAGTAAATGAAGTCGAAAAGCAGTTGTCATCGGCAGCCCAAATGATATTTTCTGCTGCAAAAGTCTTGGAACCATTGCCAGTTGTTTGAGGTGCTAATACATATTTGCCTCCAACAAGGGAGGAGGGGCGGGGGGGTGGTGGGAGGTAACTCTATTGTTTTCCACCTACGTTTCCTGATCCACTCCGCCCGCCAGTATGACGTCACATAGTAACGGGCAAGTGCCTCGGGTCGCTTGTGCAAATTAGCAAGGGATACGACAGTTATTTGGACGAGCGAGGCCGAGGAAAAGCTAATAAGCTAGCAAATATCGCCATATATCGCTAATTTGATCGAATGTGTGTGAGCTTTGGTGTTGCTATAATGTGCTTGTGTAAACCGTTTTGATATTTTGTGTCCGTGATTGTATAATTTTGTTAATTCATCTATTCTTTTGCTAACTGAATGGGCCTAACTTCATATCATTCCTTTCGAGTGTGGGTCTCTGTTGATCTCCTTATTCTACACCAAATTCAATAAAGCTACTTCGATCGATTATCTACATCGAGTAGGCCCGTTGAACCCGAAATAATGCGAAATAGCTTTGAAATACGAGCTTAAGCTAATTTTCCTGAAATGTATATTTGAATCCATGATAAATACAGCTCCACCAGCTTCAAACAGCGTCTATGGCAGAGAAAAATTGTTTTGATATGGCAAAATTAATTTTTCAAATCATGTGTGTCACTGTGGTGCAGTGGTCAAGTAGTTGCTTGCACGTGCAGATAAACCGGGTTCGACTCCCGCCGACGCTCTTTCCTGTTTCTTTGTACTTCTTTTTTTGTCTGTTTGGTTAAGTCCGGAGTTTTATTTTGGAAAAGGGATTTCAAAAGCTCTTGACCTGCATACTGGCCAAGCTTACGACCAGATAAAAACCATAAGCAGTCAAGACATGTCCCTCCTCCGAAACAGCCGAATTTTTTTTCAATGTTAGTTGACAATCATGACAAACAACACACAGTACACCGCAAACTGTACTAATTTACACCCAACACCCACCAGTGACCCACTGGTGAAAGTTAAACTTGCCTTTTGTACATCGTCTTTATCAACAATATCATTGCCTTAAAATCTCCACTGGGTTTGCCCCCAAAAAGTAATTAAACGAAACCTTTTATTGGTTTCCGGGATTTAATTACAGAATTACAGGTGTATGCCCAATACAGTTTTAAAATGCGGTAAAGCAACACGATTCAGTGCTCACAGTCTCTCACAAATACCTGTACTCATTTAGCTTCCCCTTTCAAAGATACAGCTAAGGGGTGGACCATTTGATTTTTGATGGGGGGGTTGCAGGATTTTTAGACTGCTAGATATTTTTTTTTATTGCTCCAGCCCTGCAGGATTTTTTTAATCTCCCTGTCCTTGCATGATATTTTTTTAATGGAAATTTAAAACACAAATTTTGAAGTTTAATAACTTGACCATCACCAGCCACTCAAAATTCACCCTTTAGGCTATTAAAAACCACCTTTACACGCAATGCATTTTTAAGTTTACATCTTTCTTTCAAAGTAATAAAGAGTTTCATCTTTATTCAGTGTACAAAGAAATGCATCTCCACTAACCTGCGGCTAGTTGATTTCCCTGTCAGGCTAGTGGATGTTATATGCATCACTCTCTGTACTTGCCCACTGAACAAGTGAACGTTTTTTTCTTTCTAATTACGTAATGCTACTGAGAAAAGCTTTCAAACTTGCGTGTAATGGTTCCAACTTGTCCAAAGGGCGAGCTGGAAATTCCATCTTATTTGAATCCTGTTTTTTGCTTTCAAAGCAAGAGAGAGGGACTTCAAAGAAGGAGAAATTGCACAGTAATCTGGCTTCTCAATATACGCATTTAGTATTTGGAGTTATCTAGAGTTTAAAAAAAAGGAGGGTTCAAGAAACGGGGACCTCACTGTAGATTTTACCAGTTTAGACGAATTTCGAGTGGACGTAGAAGCAGCTGGAGGGGATATAACCTTACATTTAAATTTGGCTAGATATGCAGATGTACAGGATGTTGAAGACAACCTTGTTCATTTATAAAGAAAATTTTAAACTGTTATTATTCTTAAGGCTCAATTGTTCTTGATGGATAAGTATAGACAATTTCTGCCAGCTTGTGGTTTATTAAAGACATTGTTAAATAAACATTTGTCAATAGAGTTGTCAATAGGTGAGAAAATTAGATTGGTAGTTGACCCCTTTGAATCATCTTTTATATAGGTACAATATTTCAATGCCTAAATAATTAAAACAATTACGTTTTAATTTATGTGCTACAGACTGTTTACTATTATTTTCTTGGCTTGAAAATAGGCAATGAACACAAAAGTAATAGAACTCTGCAAAAACACGAATGACCCAGAGGGAAAAAATGCTCTTCGATCTATTTGATCGTCTTTTGTCTCGTGCACATATCCAGCGCATCCGTTTCACATTCTTTGTATATTTTGAACCCTGCACCAATTCAATGTGGCCTGCCTTTACTCTTGTTTGTCCCATTTCCTTTTCTATAAAGTAAATCTTATTTTGTTACAAAAATACCTGCACGTGACAACTGTTAGGGTGGGAATCTGAATGCATGAATATCTTTGAATCATAATATCCTTCTAGATCAGACGGTTCACTTTAATAGGAAATCTAATTGGTAAATCATGCGTCGCGCTTGCAAAATACTAATTCACGTATCAAAAAATGTGATGCCCAGTTCTGTATCATGTGACTCACAGCTACTTTTGGGGCCGTCACGCATCACGCAAAATCCTTTGCCACGCCCAGGTTAAGGCTGCTCGATTTTTTTTCCTTCTTAAGAATTCTGCAGGAAATTTTTTCTTAACCAGAAACATATGCTCGATATTTTTTTTGGGATTTGCACAACCCCCCCCCCCCATCAAAAATCAAATGGTCCACCCCTAAGCGAACTTTGAGAGGAATGATATGGGGTTCCACCAGCTCTGAAGAGCTGAAAATAAGCATAATGCTCATGAACCTCCTGTTGCTGTGTCTAAACTCCTCAATCTTGCTGTGCACTGGCCCTCAAAAGTGTGACCGGTCGGTATGATTACGCGTAAAATTTGCTCGACGATAGAAAGGAATATTTAAAATTCATTACACCACTGGACATTTTATTCCAAAAAAGTACTTAAGTCTAGTTTTCTATGACAATAGAAACGTTAAAATCTCCAAATCCAAGGAATCGGAACAGCATTTCCGTGATAAAATCGAAATTTTTATCCGTCTCTTCGATGAACACTTTGCTCACCATTTTGAAAGTCACTGACGCGAGACGTGACGTCATCCTGGCATGCGGACTGTACCACAGATTTCCTTGGAGACACCTCCCCCCCCGGCCTCCACAAAAAATACTCACGTTTCTAGTCCGCCTAAGCCTGAGCAATCACTTTTTAAGAATTTCCAAAGAAGCCAATATTTGTTTAACGCTGTACTGAATAAACCAGTAAACAAATTAGATTCTCTCGCGTGCGAACAATAAATAAGTGCCTAAGTAATGATTTTTTACGTTTGAAAATACGTGCAGGATCATATTATGCACGTCTGCTGCTAGAGAGTTATAATAGTAATTAAGAAAATAGCGTCAGCGAATAAAATTGGAAGAAGCTAGTTGACAAAATATTCGGAGATTGTTTCATTGAGTGGAATGACAAGTAGATGAGTGGACAAATTTAGGCAGTTTGATGATTTTATTTGAAGTAAATGATGTGAGGCACTTAATCCTATCATTAAATTTTGCATAGTTTTACTGCAAACTTTCGAAAAGGGGACAGTTTGTTAGAATCCTCTTTATCAAATTGCATCATATCCTTAACATAAGAACTGTATAACGGGTGAAGCCCAACAGTTTCACATGTAACTACATATTGTAAAGTGTGCATCTCATGCAGAAGAAGTTCAGGGGATGATCTATGGGGGAGGGTGCAGGGGGTGCACATTTCCCTGCATGAGTTGACATGCAACTTTCTAATACAACTTTTCTGCCAAACAACGTATGTGTTTTATTGCTGTTAAAAAAAAAAAACATGAGACGAGGTTGAAGAATTTATGTTGCACGCCGTTAAAAAAGGTAGTTTCGCACGTCACGTCATCAGTCACTTATGCTACTTTCTTAGAGGTGCCACCCCTCCTAAGAAGAAAAATCCTGGATCCACCCCTGCAATAGAACATTTCTTCACGTTCGGCTTTCGACGAGCAAGGTTATACTAAGACTTTAATTTAAATTCCGATTCTTTTCTTTCGAGAAACGTTTGGTGAGTTGAAATTCATTCTATTGTCATAAGATCAGTAGATGGCATGTATTTCTAGTATGTTCATTTTCATACATAACCATACATGTACTTGTAAAGACCAATAAAAATATAATGAATAAAAACAAAAATAGGAATCAAGGATAACTTTGAACAGGTCATGTGTTCATTATGCTTATAATTAGTTTTAGAATGGGCCAAAATTTCATGGCTAATTAATTAACGAATTCAGCCACGTTTGACTCAACAAGTTTAACATCAAAAGGAAAATTGTACTCTAGATGAAATGACCAAAATGAGAGTGTGATTCTTACTGAGAGCTACAGAGATCAGGAAACTAGGCCTTGTCTTTTAACTCCTCTATATTTTGTTAAATAACCGTTAGGTTAATTTTGAACACTTCCAAGTCTACAGTTATTGACCGTTAGTTTTGGATGTACGCTTGTAAATAGCGTAAACCAAACGTCCAAGAGAGCAATATTCTAAACATGGTAAGAAATGTAACTATGATGTACCAACGTTTACCCTATTAAGTGGGTATGCATACCTCAAATTCCCTTAATTTTAAATTAAGACAATTAACAGTACAAATGTGGATATGTTGGATGACATACGGGGCACTAGTAGTAGTGCATGGTAGTTCTATATTGTCATTAGGAACAGTAGCTTTCAACAGCTAGACACACTGTATGCCATGAGTGTTTTACTTAAGTATCCAACCCTGTAAGCTGCTCCTAAGTCCTGATAACCTCTCGATGGTCTCGAGTCTTGCACCTCTAACCTTCCTTTTCTTTACTGATAAAGAACTAAAATAAATAAAAATAGACTGATGCAACAGCGTTTGATCTTCAACATTTATTGCAACCGGCGGGGGCGGGGGTTACTCGTACTCCCTATGATGGCCTATACGGGAAGGCTCCAGCCGCTAGGGGTAACTTTTACAGGCTTCAGGAAAATGAAAGGATGGGAATTTCACTCCTTGAAATATATATAAGGGTAAGGAAACCTGTCATTTGGGTCTGTGAAAGGGCCCAAAGTGCCGAACAGATGAATTTTACGGCTTCATAAAGTCGAGAAAACTTTCTATCTTTGTGATTGATTTCTATTTAAAAGACAGTGCAAATGGGGTACCATTTGTCAATAGAAGGCATACAAAAAGGGTACCTTTTTCGTGAAAAAGGTAAGGGGTTGGACCACGAGACAGAGCTTCCCCGTACCCCCCCCCCGGGGATTGCAACTCACAGTTTCATGCTTCTTACGAAGCATGTAGTTAGATCAGTCTACTTGTATTCTACTCTCGTTCAATTTTTGAGCACAATTGGTATTTGCCCCATGTAAGGGAATGCAAGACAGTCTTGGATTTTAGGATTCCACGCCTTGGATTTCGGATTCCAGGCAGTTGATTCGAGTCTTTTTTGGTGAATTCTGGATTCCAATCCTTAGTAGGATTCCAGATTCCTTGAGCTTTATACTGGATTCCAAAGCCCAGGATTCCGGCTTCCACAAGGAAAAATTTCACGGACTCCGGAATCCGGATTCCTCTACACTGGGTGATCTTATAATCAATGGTGACAACACTCTGGTACTTTGTTATATGAAATAAAATACATTTTTTGACTGGCAGTTGTTTTTCAGGGAACGGTTTATTTTGAGGTCCGGCTGCAGGGAATGTGTGTATGTTTTTACAATTATGTCAACTTACATCTTTGCTTTGTTTGGTGAGAAATATTGGAGGACACTTCCTGGTTGACCTGTATCAGGGCCACCTGACGACTGTTTTGTGAAATATCTGTTGGAAGAAGCACACATTGCCAACAATTTTCTAAAGTTGGATGATCCTTCCATTCATGTACAAATTTTCGAAGTTCATCTGATAAATTCCCTGTACAAGGTTCAATTTTTCTCATTTCACTCCTCAGGTAAAGCTATATTTCGAAAAAAAAAGGAAACAGAATTTTTGATGCAGAGAGGAATCGGAAAAATTCTAACTTTCGTAAAGCCTTAAATTTCATCTAAAACTTTCGGGATGAAAATAGTGAAGTCATTGTCATTTTGAAAATACTCAAGTTGCCCTAAGATGACCGAACAGATGCATACTTAAAAATGCCGCTTAGAGTGTATTTCATGATCTACGATAAAGTACTCTGGATAGCCTAAAAAAATGTTTTCAATACATGTATCAAGAGAGGATAGAGGGGACAGGGAAGGCATCCCCCATACACACCCTACTCCATAGGTAATTCGTCTCGAGTTATTTTTAGAATCGGGATAAAGTTACCTCGCGCGCTGCGTGGTTGTTTCGTGGAGGTTTCGCATGACTATAAACGCCGTGCAAAACATGTCGGGCTAAGGCAATGAACGCTTAAAGAGATCGAGAGCATTTCTGAATATTGAAGCGAAATGAGTCGGCGCTCACCTGGGAAAAGGGAATCGTTGGACTCTTTGGCAACCCGTGAAATCAGTGTAATTCGAAGTTGTCGTAACCTCAGTGCTTTAAAGCAAGTAGGACGCCCAGAGTTATTTTTGTTGAATAATAAAAGACTAATAAAAGAAAAAATATCAAACCAGAAATTGCTCTCTTCAAACTGTAAATTATAAATGATCCTGAGAGAATATTCAGTGTGTTAAGGATTTCCCTGCTGTACTGTTAGCTCTATACAAGAGAGGAGGGGCGATTCTTTTTTAATTTCTTCCATTTCGCTGCATCATTATTAAAGGTAACAATAGAAAGCCATAGCACTGGAGCTTGCAGCACGACTAGCAAGCAAGTGTAGAAGAGCATCAATCACCAAGCATTTTTCTTGTTTACAAGCTTAGCGACCATTCAGTAACCTTGAGAGAGTGTACCCCGGGATGGCGGGGTTGTAAGATTGCATGTAAAGGAGGGTTATTTTTTTACCCCGCCCAAGGGGGTTACCTCACCTATCTGAGGTCCCCCACCTTCATGTAAACAGGCCCTAGCCTACTGTCATCTAGTCTGGCACTTTTGCAATGCTTCGGATCGGAGAAAGCTAGAGCGGGTTCAGGAGTGAGCGCTAAGGGCGGTGTACAAAACCAGATCAGCGTCCTATCAAGAACTGCTAGACCGCGCCAAACTACCGACGTTGCACAATCGGCGTCTTCAAGACATTGCCATTTTAATGTTTAAAGTTAAGCACAGTCTCGTATCCCTGAATATTTCGGACTTGTTTAATTTAAAGAACACTCAAAAAAACTTACGGAATAGTGACTTCGAACTGCCAAGATTCGAGACTGTTAGATTTGTTAGTAATTCAATAAAATATATGGGACCTCGCATTTGGCCGAAGTTGCCAAGACACTTGAGAATGATGGAAAATCTAAACTCGTTTAACAGGAACATTAGGAAATTTGACCTTTCAACTCTTGTAAACATTTAGACGTTTTTTTTAGGCTTTTTAACAAATTTTGTAAATAATTATATAATCTACACGCAATTTTTAATTTCTAATTTTTAGTGATCTGTATCTGGTAGTTGACGTATTATTTTACAGTGTCCCCCATTAGCTTATAGCTAAAAACATAGACACTTCAAATCATAGTTAATTGAGTGGAATGGTTATGAAACCCGTCAGAGTCCTTTGTTATATGTTTTTGTGGACCTGAAAGTGCTCAACGTTCAAAAGAATTCCTATCATTTTGATTGTATTGACCAATAAAAACGTTGCATTAATTTATTCCGTAACAATTTGCCAACAGAAAACAAAGGATTGTGCACTTTCACGGTGCTTTGAACATAAACTGCAGCACTGTTGTTTTTATCATTGATGTTTGCCGCTCTTCATAACCAGTCTCCTCTAATAACTATGCTTCAAATAAAGTTTATAAAATTAATAAATAAATACAACAAAAGAATTCCCAAAAGTATAATTACACGACCTAACTAGGAAAAACACTGCTAAAGAAGTCTATTGTGACGATCATTTCTTCATTTGAATTTATTTGTATTGCTTGAATATAATATTACGTGACAAGAGATTTGATGTGATTAACGAATTGCATGACACGAAAGGTTCAGATTCTTTGTCCAAACTGACTTTCCTCGTTTTCCTTCAAATTTTTAAGACTATATAAATATCATTTTAAACTTTATTTGTGTTGTTTAGTTCCGAAAGGGACAACACTCTTGAACTTTTGGTTCTTTTCTTAGGCTGTTCACAGGAATTACGTAGCGAGCGACTAGGAATTTTAATGTTTCACTTGCACAATACATAATTACACGTGCGAATTATTTTGAATAACATGTGTGAAGTGAAGTGTTGAATCAGCGTATGCACTGTCGTATCGATGGCTTCTCTTTTAACAGCTGTTTTTAAAGCGACTGTTGGTTTACTTGTGGAAAAAGGCCGCGATGCTGCTGCCGAAAAGCTAAAGCATGGAGATATTACTGATCAAAAACTGCGAGACGTGATTGTTCGAGAAATCCATGATGTCAAATCGAAGCTGGATGGCCTGGCAAGGAAAGATCTCCTGTCGGCAATCGACTTCTTTGAAGAAGGAATTACTTTATTGTATGATCTGCCTCAATTGAAATACTCACCAGGGTACGATGCTGAAGATAATGTGGTTTCTCTACCTCAGGCAATGTCCAACTTGAAACTGACCCAAAGCATGGATGAAGCCTCAACATCAATTCTTTCTAGAGCCAAGAAAAGGTTCGAAGATTGTCGTAGGAAAGCAACAGAAGCGTTTAATGACGAAGCATTAAAACCTTCCGACCGCATCGTGGCAATGGGATACCGAGTTATGGCGACAGTGCTGGAAACAGTAGACAATCCTACAGCCGCTTTATCAGCTTGCAGATTGTGCATTGAAAGATTGCACTCACTACCAGCGGTTCAAAATTGTTTTTCCGTCGAACTTAAGAAGGGTCTTCGTGGCTGGTTCAGCAAAGATGAACGCAGAGAAATCATTACAGCTATATGTCGTGTAAATCGCGTCATCTATGATGTAACGTGTATCGTTTATGGTTTTGGCAACAAAGAATTACAAGACATCACACAAACCTGGCCTTGTATTAATATTGACAACGGAAATGTGAATGTTAATCCACTGATTGACGGAAGAGTTGCTATTACTTTACGAAAGCGAGGAATGAACCACTTTTCCGCGCACTGGTCATTTGGTCAGGAAGGGGAAGAGAAACAGAGGCTGAAGCAAGCTGGTGGAATCGCAACAAACACGCAGGGGGGCTTTATTGTTACCGACTGTGAAGACCGTAACGTAAAGGCGTTTGACAGCACTGGTAAGTTTTTATACTCATTCTATCCTGGGACTAACGAGAAGGCAAAAGATGACAAAGATGTAATTATTCATGATGTAGCGACTGACAAGAAAGACAATATCTACGTTCTCCTGACACGCAAGAGGCCCGGAGTCGAAGAAGAGTCTTTCGTGTACTTAAAAACGTCGGATCAATTTCTTCCTCTCAGGGGTGGATTCAGGTCATGGTCTTTTGGATGTTCTTCGCTTGCAATTAGCGACAACGATAAAGTGCTGGTACGCGGAGAGATGATTGGCGGGCACTACGTGGTTGACGTGTATGAGAAAGACGGCCAGTTTGTTTGTCGTTTTGGAGAAGGCATCTTGAAAGGCGCTTCATCCATTGCCACTGCAAATGACGGAAGTATTGTAGTAGCAGACCACGAGGGTGATTCGTATCATGTTTACACCTTTAGTGAAGAGGGAGAACAGCTTTCTAAGTTCACTGTGCAAAGATCGTACCACTGCCCTCAAACGACGTTCCATCAAGCGAGTGAACATTTCGTTGTAGCTGGTATTGAAAGAGGAGCAGAACGTCGCCTGCAAATCGTGATTTACACCAAAAATGGCGAAATTGTGCGAAGCATTGGGCACAACGAAACTGATTTAGTTTACTTACGAGGTATAATAGTTACCGCGGATGGTCGTATTGCTGTGGTGCATAAACAAGGAACCGAGTTCAAGATACTTATGGTATGAATACATAGGCGTACGGGCCGGGGGGGCGAGGGGGGCTGCAGCCCCCCCCCCAAATGTTGGGCAACTCAGATTTTTTGGGGCAGCAAGAGAAAATTTGGGCAAAGCCAGGTTTTAAAGACGTTTCGCTGTTTTTTTATTGTTATTTTAAAGAGATAAATATTTTATATTTTATTCTGACAAAAATCCTGACGTCGGTCGGCGTAATAATCAAGTTACATTCTCTCGAGACATAGGTTGCCTAGCACGTGATGAGTTTCTGGTTATTAGGAAAGGGTATCACACGTTGATTTACGTATTTATAGTTTTTTAAAGTGTTTAGTTAAGGTTAAAAAATTACTGCAAAAACCGTGTACGATCAATCCTGCTCAACGTCGGATCCGAAAAGATCGTGATCAGTCAAAATAGATCAAAACGTTACAGTCAAGAAGACTTTTGCAGGGACTGATCAAACAACGTGAAATAGAGTTAAGTTGCGATATTTCGACTGGCCAATACCAGTCTTCATCAGGTTTATATCAGGTTTTTTACTGTTGAGCACTGTACTGTACTGTCGTTTTTTACCATATTTCTAACGATGAAAACTTCATTCCAAAATATCCCAATAACACTCTCACAGTTTCCGTTTTAACTTCACGAACATCGAGGCGACTATTTGAGGAAAAAGTTTCCGTGAACGATTTTTTAAGAACAGTTCTCTGTGCCGAGAAATATTACTGCGAGTAATATAGGCAATGGCGTCATTTCGTTGCTATGACAACTCCGATGTCATTGCATTCCTAGTCATGACAAATTTTCATCTTTATCTAATAAAACTGTGGTGGCAATTTTTCCAAATGTTTGTCTATGGTGACGTAGTTATGCTCAGAATTGGAAGGTATTGACCCTGAAAAACTGTGTTACAGTATCGAGCCACCTTCATATGCCAGTGCGGCCTCTGTTGTTGCATCGTATGGTCCTCGTTTCTTTTCGACTGTACGTTTCGGAAAAATTCGGGCAACTTGCGAGAATTTTTTGGGAAAATGGTTTACCGCCCTCCCTGGCAAAAAATTTCCCGTACGCCTATGTATGAATATTGATATAAACTAAGGGCGCTAATACTATTCGTCAGAACTGGCCGATCAGAGCAATGCAGTTGTAAAGAGAATTCCACTATATATCATTACTACCTTATTATAGGAAAGTCACGCTTCATGAAATTAACGCGAATTTCGAAAATTCGTATTACTTCGTGTCGCGTTGTAAACCTTAATTTCCGTGCTCGTAATAGTTAAGGAGTATTTTATACTACTACTACTACTACTACTACTACTACTACTACTACTACTACTACTACTACTACTACTACTACTACTACTACTACTACCATTACTACTACTACTACTACTACTACTACTACTACTACTACTACTAATATTTAAAACTTAATATAGCGCCTTTTAACATTAAAATGATCAAAAGCGCTTTACATGAATTTAAATATATATATATAAAAATACAATAACTATAATGAATTATAAGAAATTTCTATAAAACCTAATACTACACTGACAACTAAAATGATCTGTTTCAGCCCCAAAGTGTCAATTCAGCCCTTCCTGGAGCCATTGGAGCACAATTTAGGCCAAAAAAACTCAATCAAAAGGCTATTCCAGCCCACGGTAGGACCAAATCAGTCCTAGCTAATTGGACTGTATTTTGCCCTGATTTAAGGGAGCCAAATTAGACTCACCGAAAGGGCTTTATTTTTAGGGCTAAAACAAATCTCGCTGATTTAGACTGTAAAAATACGCAAGTGACCACCCCCAAGAAAAGTTATTCGTTGTAAGCTAAATTAAAAAAATGTGTCTTAAGGTTTTTCTTAAGAATGCTGAGTGATGTTATTTCCCGAATATTGGCTGGAAGACTGTTCCACAGTGTGGGGGCAGCGGCATAAAATGAACGAGCTCCTATTGTAGATAACATGCGCCCCTTGTGACGGTCCAAGGATAATGAATAAACAGAACACGACTTAATAGACACTAAGTTACTAATATAGCTAGGTGACATATTATATATAGCCTTTTAAGGCTATATATTTAAAAATGCAACAATTAATTTTAATTTTTAAAATAGATGCCGTAAAACACAGGTAGCCAGTGAAGGTTATATAAAGCTGATGTGATATGATCACACTTTCTAGTGTTCGTTATTATATTTTATGAGGATGGAGCCCCACGAGTATCGGTGAATCCTCCAAGAGGCCAGATTTCTTTGCTAGACCCCCTCCCTACGTTTAGGGAAATTACAAAGAACAAAGTCTCAATTTCGGATTGCAGGTTTGTTCCCGTTGCCGTCTCGAGAACAAGTTTTGCTTCTTAAGCCTCTTGCAAACGGACGCAACATTGTTGGATGTTACATGTTGCGTCCACCCTGTTGCATGTTATTGGCTGTTGTTGCGTGTTGTTGCGCAAAGTTTGAAACCGGTCAAACAGGGACCGCGGAGACCATTTTAAAGTGGTAGGGCTAAAAAATCTTGCCAATACAAAGAAACATTAACTTCAGTGTTTCGCCATTTATCTTGCATTTGCGTTGACTACGACTAGTCTCTCTTTAATTTTCTCTTGGTCCGTCGAGCAAAACGCCCGAGACACGCTCACAGGCGCGTGCACTCCCCCTTGAAATCTGAAGAAAAAGAGAGACTGCTCGCAGTCTAGCATTTGCGCGCCATCTTATTTACAGCCTCAACAAATATAACATAAACGTCGTCACGTGTTATAGTATCCAGTATAGCCAATATGTTGAATAAACCTTCCTAAAATTGCTACTTTGAAGTTGTCAGCAGTGCCGAAATTTCTCTTGCGGTCCTCATTGCTGGAAACAAACTCCTGTGCGACGTCACCTATAGAGACACTGTCTGTTCTCAGCTTGTAACCATTCAACGTTACTACTAGGTTGCTAAACCTCTCATCACCCATCCTGGATCGAAGCCACGTCTTCAGACGCCGTACGTATGGATGAGCATGAACCCTCGCCAGCAGCGCTGGTAATAGGATTTACAGCAAGCAGCTTACAGATAGTTTAACTGACTTCCTGAATTAGCTTCTTTTCTGGTTCTGGAAACTTTAGAACCGCCAACAGGATTTCATCAAAACATGATATCTTCTCCTTCTTCCATAGTACTTAGTTGCCTAGGTAGCGCCCCTGTATCGCAACATCTTCCCTATATTATGTTTCAAGAAACTGAACTCTGCCTCATAGTCGTCACCATTAGCTATAGCAGCTTTAAGCGAGAGGGTCTCCATCTGGGCTTAAGAGCTGAAGCTCTCCTGATTAACGCTCTGATAGATAGCCAAGACGATAAGATCAATAGCCTCATAATAGGCCCGTACAAAGTGATCTTTAGCAGTTTGGGGATAGCTTGGTGCACCAGCACCAACCTTCAGTCTGGCCGGAGTGTGTCGTTTTCTTGGAAGCGTTGGTTCGCCAAGCAGGCCTTCACTCTTGCGGGCAACATTAGCATACAAATGGTCGAAGCTTTGATCAATGCGAATTTTTGTGAGCGTCCCCTTTGTTAGATTTGCCAGGCGTTGTCCACTGACAGCAGCCATCTTAGTACCCTGAAGATCCTTAGATAGATTATCGGTGTGGCAATAAAGGTGCTCTCCAAGATGCAAAGCAGGGAAAAAGTCAAATCACTCCATCTGGGCCTTGCATCTTATTATCCTTGCGCGCACATCGGGTTGTAATCGTTCTGACAAGCAAACATCCCACTCTTCCATAGGGCAAAGTCCAATAATTCCACGGAAATTTTTTCCATGTCAACTGGAGTCCTGAAATAAATCCCAGCAATAAAAGTGGTAGGGCTATAGCCCTACCAGCCCCTCCCCCTCCGCGGTCCCTGTCAAACTTTTCAGCCAACAACTCCCAACATTTCTATTGTTCCGTGATCGCCGACGCGTAGCGCAACAATGTTGGATCCGTTTGCACAGCTCTTCCAGCGTTGTTGACTTATGAGTTGTATTCTTCCCACGATGCACTGCAGGTCCCAAACTTGTTGGGAGTTGTTGCATCCGTTTGCACACCACTGCCAACACGCACGCAACAACTAACGCGACGTTCACCACTAAGGTTGCGTGCAAACGGGCGCAACAACTCCCAACGTTGTTGCGCCAACAATGTTGGGAGTTGTTGCGCCCGTTTGCACGCAACCTTAGTGGTGAACGTCGCGTTAATTTTTTCGCAGACGTTCGAAAAGGAGGCATTTTATTAGAATCCTATAGTTTGATCAAAATGCATTCTTAACATAAGAACTGTGAAAGGGGCGAAGCCCAACAGTTTCATATGCAGACTGTGCATCTCATGCAGAATATAGGTGTTCACAGTATAACATTTCTTAACATTCGGCATTGACGAAGAGCAAGTTTATACGAAGACTTAAATTTAAATTCCGATTCTCTCCTTTCAAGTAATGTTTGATGAGTTGAAATTCCTTCTACTGTTTTAAGATGGGTAAACATTTACTAAGAACTGCATGTATCTCTAGTATGTGCATTTTCATACATGTACTTGTTAGGACAAAGAAAAATATAATAGATGAAAAAAAAAATCAATGATAACTTTGAACAGGTTGTGCTCATTATGCTTAGCTTCAGTATGGGCCACAATTTTATGGCTAGTTAACGTATTCAGCCACAATTGATTAAAAAAATTAAAAATCGAAAGGAAAATTGTATTCTACATGAAATAACCCAAATGAGGCTGTGATTCTTACTGAGAGCTAAAGAGATCAGGAAAACAGGCCTCGTCTTTAACTCCTCTGGGGTCTGTTTACCAACCGTTAGACTAATTTTGAACATTATCAAGTGTACACTTTTCTGTTAGTTTAGATGTATATACATGTAAGTAGCGTAAACCAAACGTCCAAGAGAGCAGAGCAATATTCGAAACATGGCAAGAAACGTATGATATAGGAAATTAAGTTTACCCTGTTAAGCGGGTATGCATACCTCAAATTAATCGTACAAATGCGGATATTTCGGATGTCACACTGGGCACTAGAAGTGGGGAAAATAAACAATGTCTACTGAGTGTATTACTGGCATGGTAGTTCTATATTGTCATTAGAAACATTAGCTTTCAAAAGCTGGATACACTGTATGCCATGAGTGTTTATTGAAGTATTCAAACAACCCTGTAATCTGCTACGTAAGTTCCCGTATGCTGATAAACTCTACAATGTTCTCGTGCCTTGCACCTTTAACCTTCCTTTTATTTTCTTTACTGCTGAAGAAATAACATATGTATTAGATAAAAGTAGACTGATGGAACAGGGTTTGATCTTGAACATTTATTGCAACCCGGGGAGGAGGGGCTACTCCGTATGATGGCCTATACGGGGAGGGTCCACCCGCAAGGGGTAACTTTTACAGGCTTCAGGTATATAAAAGGGTAGGAAAATCTGTCATTTGGCTCTGTAAAAGGGCCCAACGGGTCGAACAGATGGATTTTACGGCTTCATTAAGTCGAGACAACGTTCTATTTTTGTGATTGTTTTCTATTTAAAAGACATTGCATTTACAGCAGTTAAAAGAGATGCAAAGGTCTAAACAAGGTATCTCAAGGGGGTACCATTTGTCAATAGAAGGCATACAAAAAGGTACCTTTTTCGTGAAAAAGGGTTAGGGGTTGGACCACGCGACAGAGCTTCCTTGGGTAGACATTTGTTGAGTACCCCCCCCAGGATTTCAACTCAGAGTTTATGCTTCTTGCTAAGCATGTAGTTAGATCAGTCTACTTGTATTCTGCTCTCGCTCAACTGTTGAGCACAATTCGTATTCGTCCCAGGTAAGGGAATCCAAGTCGGTCTTGGATTCTAGGATTGCACGCCGTGGATTTCGGATTCCAGGCAGTTGATTGCAGTCTTTTCTAGTGGATTCTGGATTTTAATCCTTAGTAGCATTCCAGATTCCTTGAGCTGCATTCTGGATTCCAAAGCCCAGGATTCCGGATTCCACAAGAAAAATTTCACGGACTCCGGAATCCGGATTCCTCTACACGGGGTGATCTTATAATCAATGGTGACAACACTCAGGTACTTTGTTACATAATAAAAAATACATTTTTTGACTTGCAGTTGTTTTTTAGGGAGCAGTTTATTTTGAGATCCGGCTGCAGGAACTGTGTGTATGGTTGTGGAATTGGAGGTCACTGCGAGGTTGACCTGTATCTGGGCCACCTGACGACTGTTTTCTGTAAAATATCTCTTCGAAGAAGCTCATATTGCCTAAAATTTTCTATAGCTCTAGGATGGCTAAAAATACCTAGATGACCCTTCCATTCACGTACAGTTTTTCGAAGTTCATCTGATAAATCCCTTTACAATTTTCTGAGGTTCAATTTTCCTGATTTCACTCCCGAAGTAAAGCTATTGAAGAAAAAGGAAACAAAATTTTAGGAATCGAAAATTTGATGGAGAGAGGAATCAGAACAATTCTAACTTTTGTATATGTGGAGCTTTAAATTTCACCTAAAACTTTGGGAAAAAAACTTTGTCCTTTTGAAAATACCGTCAAGTTGCCCTAAGATGACCGAACAGATACATACTTAAAAAGGCCGTTCAGAATGCACTTCATGATCTAAAAGTACTCTGGACTGAGCCTAAAAAGTGTTTTCAGCCATGCCATGTTGAAAGGCGCTTCATGTATTGCCACTACTAATAATCCCTAATATAAAGGAAGTATCACCGACTATCAGAGTAGTTCTCCACGGATGTGATTCGCATCACATTTAAGCCTTTTTTCAGTGTAGAGGGAAAACACCCGGGGTTCATATACCGCTGTAGGTATGTGCCGCCCCAATGGGTAGGGTTTTTGCACCGTTTTGGTCTGAAAACGGGTATAGATTTTGCCCATTTTGGTCTGGATCAGAGTCTGGAATCGGGTATGGTTAACAAAGGAACTTGTGTATCCATGTGTCCGTCGTTTCAATTCCAAATGAATAAGAAGGAAATCGTAATATGCGAATTCGAAATGGATATTAAGAATTCTTTTTGTTGTGGTTTTAATTTCAGCAATGATGACACAATCTCTGTTTTATGTAGAATGTAATGTTGCGGTTTGTGACCACCTCCAGGTCAGAATGGGTATGAATGGTCTGACAACGGGTGTGGAAAATGACATTGTTTGGTCTAACATAAGGTCAGATTTCGTAGAACCGGACGGCACACCCCCGCCAAGAATTCCCATGGGGAAATATTTCCCGAGCAACTTTTACGTTGATAAATAAAAGAGTTTTCTAGAGTATAATCACGGGGCCTACTTCGGAAAAACAGTGCTAAAGAAGTCTATTGTGACGATCATATCTTCATTTGAAATTATTTGAACTGCTTGAATGTAATGTTACGTGACAGGTGATTATTTTGGTGTGATTTAGGAATTGCGTGACACGAAAAGTTCAGATTAAATTGAATTTCTAAATTGACTTTCCCCGTTTTTCTTTAAATTTTTTAGACTAATTAAAATATCGTTTTTTTAAAATTTGTGTTCTCTTGTTTAGTTCCGAAAGGGGCAATACTCTTGTCCTTTTTTATGTTTTCCTTGGCTGTCAACAGGAAATACGTAACGACTAAGGAATTTGAATGTTTCCCTTACGCAATACTACTCGTGCGTATTTATTTCGAATTACAGATGAAAAAGTGAATCACTGTGCGTATGCACCGTCGTATTAATGGCTTCACTTTTAACAGCTGTTTTTAAAGCGACTGTTGGTTTGCTTGTGCAAAAAGGCCTCGATGCTGCAGCCGAAAAGCTAAAGCAAGGAGATATTACTGATCAAAAATTGCGTGATGTGATTGTTCGAGAAATCCATGATGTCAAATCGAAGCTGGATGGCCTGGCAAGGAAAGATCTCCTGTCGGCAATCGACTTCTTTGAAGAAGGAATTACTTTATTGTATGATCTGCCTCAATTGGAGTGCTCACCAGGGTACGATGCTGAAGATAATGTGGTTTCTCTACCTCAGGCAATGTCCAACTTGAAACTGACCCAAAGCATGGATCAAGCCTCAACACCAACTCTTTCTAGAGCCAAGAAAAGGTTCGAAGATTCTCGTAGGAAAGCAACAGAAGCGTTTAATGACGAAGCATTAAAACCTTCCGACCGCATCGTGGCAATGGGATACCGAGTTATGGCTACGGTGCTGGAAACAGTAGACAATCCTACAGCCGCTTTATCAGCTTGCAGATTGTGCATTGAAAGATTGCACTCACTACCAGCGGTTCAAAATTGTTTTTCCGTCGAACTTAAGAAGGGTCTTCGTGGCTGGTTCAGCAAAGATGAACGCAGAGAAATCATTACAGCTATATGTCGTGTAAATCGCGTCATCTATGATGTAACGTGTATCGTTTATGGCTTTGGCAACAAAGAATTACAAGACATCACACAAACCTGGCCTTGTATTAATATTGACAACGGAAATATGAATGTTAATCCAATGATTGATGAAAGGGTTGCTAATTCTCTACGAAAGCGAGGAATGAACCACTTCTCCGCGCGCTGGTCATTTGGTCAGGAAGGGGAAGAGAAACAGAGGCTGAAGCAGCCTGGTGGAATGGCAACAAACACGCAGGGAGGCTTTATTGTTACTGACTATAAAGATTGTAACGTAAAGGCGTTTGACAGCACTGGCAAGTTTTTATACTCATTCTACCCCGGGACTAACGAGAAGGCAAAAGATTACAAAGGTGGATTAATTCATGATGTGGCGACTGACAAGAAAGACAATATCTACGTTCTGCTGACACTCAAGATGCCTGGAGCTGACGAAGAAGAGTCTTTTGTATACTTAAAAACGTCGGATCAATTTCTTCCTCTCAGGGGTGGGTTCAGGTCATGGTCTTTTGGATGTTCTTCACTCGCAATAAGCGACAACGACAAAGTGCTGGTACGCGGAGGGATGATTGGCGGGCACTACGTGGTTGACGTGTACGAGAAAGACGGCCAGTTTGTTAATCGTTTTGGAGAAGGCATCTTGAAAGGCGCTTCATCCATTGCCGCTGCTAATGACGGATGTATCATAGTAGCGGACCACGAGGGTGATTCGCATCATGTTTACACCTTTAGTGAAGAGGGAAAACGGCTTTCTAAGTTCATTGTGCGAAAATCGTACCACTACCCTCAAACGACGTTCCATCAAGCGAGTGAACATTTCGTTGTAGCTGGTATTGAAAGAGGAGCAGAACGTCGCCTGCAAATCGTGATTTACTCCAAAAATGGCGAAATTGTGCGAAGCATTGAGCACAACGAAACTGATGTAGTTTACTTACGAGGTATTGCAGTTAGTGCGGATGGTCGCATAGCTGTGGTGTATAAACAAGCAAGCGAGTTCAAGATACTTGTGGTATGAATTGATATAAACTAGGGCGCTTACCATTCGTCAGAACTGGCCGACCAGACCAATGCAGTTGTAAAGAGAATTCCTTTATATATCAGTACTAGCTTATTATAGGAAATCAACGCGAATTTCGAAAATTCGCATTATTTCAAGTCGCGTTAATTTTTTTAAACGTTAATTTCCATTATTTTCGCCCCAAACTCTCGTCGATTTACATTTGACATTCTTGACACCTTGGAAAGAGTGGTATTTTATGAGGGTGAAGACCCGCCAGTATCGGTTAAATTGTGAAGCAGATCCCTCAAAGAGACCAGATTTCTTTGCTTGACTCCCTCCCTACGTTTGGGGAAAGTACCAAGAACAAAGTCTCGATTACGGATTGCAAGTTATTAACTTTGTTCCTCTTGTCTCAACAAGTTTGGTTTCTTAGTTGTGAACGTCGCGTTAATTTCCTTCATTTCAAAATGGTATCCTCTCTTTCGCGTTAATTTCCTTTGTTGTTGTTTTACATTAAATTCGCGGTAATTTAAGTTCCAATTCCTTAATTTCATGGAGCGGTAATTTCCTATAATAAGGTATTCACTCATATGATACGTGGTATGCACCGAAATGACAGTTTTAGTGAAAATTTGGAGAAAAGACTAATCTTTCATTCTGAAAATCACCGGTCCGGCCGGCACCTGTGTTCTGACTTTTGGTAAGCACCCTCAGACTTGTGTAGAGTAGCTGTAGTAAGCATAGAACAGACGTCAGGCGAGAAGAGGGGCCACCTACTGGATCCAGCGGAGCTGAGTTTTAAAAGATGAATTACTTTTTTAACGTTTTATCTCCCCAGAATGCAGAATCTATAGGACTGTCTTGGATTCCCTTGCGTTAAAAACATAATTGATAATGGAATTCACGCCATGGGTTATCCGGGTTTTTTGTCAGTGGAACTTGGATTAAGGATTCCAAATTCCTTGACCCGTATTTCGGATTAAAAAAACCAGGGCTCCGAATTCCACAAGCAAAATGTTTCGAATTCCTGATTCTTCAGGCAAAAATTTCCCGGATTCCCTTACGTGGGGCGAGTTTTGCCCTGTAAACTATATATCGTTATCACCTTGCACAGTTAATATGCCCACTGCCGGATCGAATAGATTGAACAGGTTTCCGGCTCATATCTCCTTATGGAAACCGTATTCAAATCGTCGTTTCATGAAAATAAAAAAAAAAAGCTAGCCATTTCCTCTTTGGCCCAAAACCCAAGCGGAAAAGCGAAGCTTTCCGAGCGAGGCACGTAATGCAGAGTATAAATACTTACATGGACAAAGTAAGCCGATCATGGCATCTTTCATGTACGTCCTTAGACCAGGAAGTATTATGTTGTTTACCGCTGAAACTGAAACGCGAGGATAACGTGATGGACGTTAATCACTGTCAGAGGTTCTTAACGAGTTTAATGTTCTTACGACAAACAAAACTGACCAGGTGACTCAAGTTTCCCTCCATTTTTCGTTTACTGTTTATTTATCTACACAAAAATAATGGTTCGTTCCACTTTCATCCGTAAATCCATAAATGTTATTTTGAACAGTTTTTATTTGCTTTTTTTTTCCAATTTGAGAAACTGTCATCTTGAATCTGCCGTTTGCCGCAAACGAGATTCTAGAATTTTTGCGGGGTTAAGTATTACTAAACACAAGAAATTTTAATCTTAAGTACAGTGTACGTAACGTTTCTGGATATTTCAAACATCCCATCAAGCTTAAGAACCTTTAAGTTTGAAAGTTGTTAAAAGAGTTGAAGTTTGAATAATCTGGGTTACATTCGTGCACGCTTCACTCTTGTGACTTTAAAACTTAACGGTTCTCACTCCCGATCTTGATAATAATGACGTTCGAAACCTTAAGGTTAATTTTTCTTGTTATATGCTTAGCTTTAACAGGCAACTGACCGTCGGTTCTCGAAAGTAAAATCGCTCTCAAATAGAGTCAACAAAGTATCCTCGGCTGCTAGATAGAAGCTTCATTTAATATATCCTTTCTGTTCAGGGGTATATAGTTTTCGGTTTCAGTCTAGGCAGTTTTACTACTTTTTATACTATTTTCTTGTTGAATACGTGTACGTTGTAGTTTCAAGTTACCCTTGCTCTAATTTTTATTCAGTCCCTTTGTCTTTTATTTCAGTTACAAATGTGTATCATGAAGTGTATTAAATATACTGCATATAAGACTCCCTTTTTGGTCTCATGGAAGCCTTGATTCATTTCCAGAGGCTGTTTTCATTTGTCTTGATAAGCAAACTCAAAATCAATTGCACTAGTCGTAAGACTGAGTAACAGCATATAGTCTGCATATTTTAATGTTAAAATTCGATTTTGTGAGTTAAGTTACACGTTGCTGTTACGTTGTTATTGGAAATAATGTACAATTAACCAGTTAATTTGTCAATATGTTGGATCTAATAAAATTCTTCTAAAAAAATGATGGCAGTTGCTCACCGTTCGCTCAAATGAATCATTCATAAAAAGAGCAAGAAACTTAATCAGTGACTCGTATGTGACAATAATTACTTTATTTAGGGCTATTCTGAGATAATTTAATTTCCAAGGGAGTAAAAAGAAAGAAATAATAATATAATAATTATCTTAAGTTTCAATTAGAATTAAATTAGTTAGAGATTCGCAGTTTCTACAGTTTTAATAAAGGTTGTTTCAAATATTTTTTGATGAGAACAATAGGAACGCTGAGCAGTAGCCTATTTTATAATTGTACCAGAAACTATTATAATATTATAATTATAAAAATAATGAGGATCATCATCGTCATCCTCATTTACATTATTGCTATGTGAAAGCGCGGTATTATTTCCTAGAGAGGTCAATCCACTGTCTTTTCCTGCCGGTGGCAATGGTTCCAAAAATTTTTGCGGCGGAAAAAGTAGTTTGAGCCGCCACTGACAACTGTTTTTCAACTTCAGCGGTTTTCCCTGATGAAAATACCTTTCTTATTGCCCGGAAAGAATATGTCGACCCCTGAAGAATGTGTCCACACTTGCTAATGAAAGCCTTTTCTATAGCTAATTGCACCATTTGATTATTGAACCGGCGTCAAACAAATGGACTCGTTGAAGCCAGATTTAATTTGGACTTTGCTTTGTCAAAAGACTTGTTAGCATGCATTCTTAAAGTTCAATACAATACAGCGTTATGAATAATCTCAGTAGAAATGCTCTGGTTCCCAACGCGAAATTTGGATCGATAAAGGTTTTTATCCAATGAAAATTGTCTTCCTGAGTTTGGAGGACAGGGTAGACCGTAATAGGTTTCACAGGTCCAAAGAAGTAGCTAAAGTCTGCCAACGGTATTCCAGAGTACATATAGAACCGAAAAAAGTAACTCGTTAAAAGATATGGAATAACGTGAGGCTCTCCAGGATTACTTTCAGACGGGTTTCGCTCAACCATAATGTCGTACAGGCTGGTTTTATTGCCATGTGCGTTTTGGTTAACTTTTTTGGCCCAAGAGAAGATGGCGTGTGATAGAAGTGGACAATTCTGAGTGACGAGAACGTAACGACCACCAACTGCCACGTCTGTACTCAAGTAAACAACGCCTCCCCCCCCACAGCTACAGAACTTAACTGTCCTTCGTGGTCGCCACCTACCTTTTAACATCTTCCCAATTGCAACTGCCCTTGATATTTCTGGCAGAGTTGCTGTACCACTTGAAGGATCTGCTGCTCCAAACAGCCAGGCGTCTCGATGACTGCCAATCAAAACAGATCTGTCCGGTTCCTCTTGGCCGTAAATAGTTCCGTTGACGTTATATATGGATTTCATGACGATCTTGTTGTTGATTTGCAGTCTAATAGTTGATTTCGGCATGTTGAAGCCTGGTCCAACATTGAAGGAAACGTTTGTTATCCCTTGCCAATATCTATTCTTGGTGCTTGCATACCTGATAAGAAAAGAAAAATACCTTGATGTATGTTTTTGGATAACAGTAACTTGATTTCTCAGATTCGCAGATTCATAAAATGTCGTTATTTACGTTTTGACAGGTCGGTGCTCAACGTCTTAACAAGTTGATAAAATCTCAGTAAGAAGGCAGGAGTATTGGAAGTGTTGTTAGCTTTGCTTCTCTTTTTAGTTTTATTTTTCCTGAAGGTTCCTACACGTACTCACTTGAAAAGAGACCGAGGTTCATTATTAAGTTCTGTGCTGTTACCTGCTATTATTAAATGTCCCGGGGGTGGGTGGGGGTACTCAATGGATTTTTGGATAGAGGTGTGCCGCCAAGGCCTTCAAACTCCAATCCTTTTCATGACAAAAATCGTTCTCTTTACTACCCTGTTGAAGACAAGAGAGGCATTGAATGGCCCTAATTCATTCGTTTCGCCTTTGCTGTTATTATTATTATTATTATTATGATAATGATGATGATGATGATTAGTATTATCGTCAATATTAATGTTATCTCATGCCAAGTAATCATTGAAAAACAACTGTCGGAACATGTCTTGCGTTTTACATATAAAGTTTTTACCTTTAAGAAGTCTCAGTAAATGCATTGCATCGCTGTAAGAAATTGGCCGTACAGATATTAAACCAAAGCCTGTATTGTTGTTGGGTCCGCGGTTCATGCCGTCAATAGCTAGTAATCCAAGTGTTAGGGAATCTCCTAAATTTTGCGCCATCGGCCTTTCCATGATGGCGTCGGCTGACGTCCACGGTGCATAGGGGTACGTTGTTCTTGTTGTTGTTTTTTTAACCCGTTATTTGAGTTTGCACGACCTTTTTTTAACTTACCGTTCAGTTTGATTACTTGCAATTCCTTGGCAATTTTTTTCACTTCAAAGTACCTTGCGTTTTATGAAGATGCATTGTATGGTCAACGAGGGCTAACAGGATTAAAGTCATTCACATTTCTAAAGCCTTGCCTAGTTCTGGTTCTTGGTGGAGCCCAAAATCACGCTTTTATATCTTTGGTGCATCCCTCCGTAAACGTGGCGATATTGTAAAGATAAAAATCCGAACTGACTTACGTTTTTGAAGGAATTCAATAAATCTCATGCCAAATTTAACATCATTTTAATCGATTATAAATTGATGCTAAATTGCTAAATTTATAGCAATTAGACTTAACAATAATAATAAATTAAAGTAATAATAATTCATCATTGTGTGTTTGTTTAATTGTTTAAAAAAAGAGAGAAAGAAAACAAAAAAAACATGCTTTTTCACGGCTACTTCGTATCTTTGTATTTCAGAACTGAGAAGGCTTGAATATTCCCGGGGGACTATTTCTGTAAGCTATTCTTTTTGTATTGGTTCAAATAGTTTCTTTTCTGCACGTGCATCATGAGCTAAATATTACCAAAGATGATATCGGTCCGATATCGCAACCAAAACAATAGTTGTCCAGTATGTTCAACTTCTTAACTCTTTAAGTCGCAAGAGTGACCAACAACAATTTTCTTCAAACATTATAAATACATTAACAAGATGAAAGGTTATAGGAATTTATAAAATAATCACTAATTATTAAATCCTTTGATCTTTTATCACATTGATCTTTTATCACATTCACTCAACTTCTTCTTTTTGGAAATGTATAGAGATTATTTAGTCTCACGGTAAATGCTTTTCAAGGGTTACCCCAAATGCTTTTGGGGGTGTGTGGTTCCTGTATTTTTGTTGCTCTTCGAATCCATGTTTCGATTTGTTTTTAATTATCATATTTAACAATTATTCTTTGAAATCGAGGTGAACAGTGGCTGAAAATTTCTTCGCGGCGAGATAAATATTCCTAAAGCCACTATTCACCGAGATTGAAAAGAATAATTGTTTATAAAACTAGTTCTTTAATTTTGCAGAATTTTCAAACATGGCAATTCACAAGTTTATCACTTCTCAAGCAACAGCGTAATGGCTAAAATGGAACCGTTAAAAGTTTGAATTATTTCCTTACCTGAGAAGAAAAGTAGCGCTTTGTTGTTTTCTGTTGACTCGCCAAGTTCATAGTTAAAAGGGTTTGTTGTATTGTTCTTCGCATGAAGGTGCTTACAAAAATGGCGGCTCGGTTGCTCGAGGTAAGACGTCGTCTTCCTGCACCATTCTTTTTCCTATTTACTTGAAACGTAGAATTTTTGCAAACATTTGCTTTCAAATTTGTTTGTCATAATAAACGTCGATTTTTGGGCCAAATTTTCTTGTTAGGAAACGCTGAGTTCACGAAACGGCTTCTTCTACGCGAATAAACGAGAGTTGTAAACAATCCATCGAGCACATTTCAAATTTCAAAGATATTGTTTTTCTTAGACAACTTAGAATGCCTGACCATGGCCTTTGAAGAGTGTCCTGCCTCAAACAAAGTTGACGCCAAGTCCACAAATTTTATAGTACGAACGTTGGTAAACTAAGGGGTGATTAAAAATAGACCGCGTGGTCTATATTTGACGAGACACAACTTAGATTGAAGAGGTTTCGCAAAGAGTAGTACTTCTTAAAAATAGCTTCTTAATTGACTTATTCATTTATCTTTAAGTTTTTAGTTTTTACCTCATTTTATTTCATTTTATTATTTTATTATTATTTTTTAACAAAGAATTTAATCGACTTACATTTTTATGATAGCTTTTGATTCGACTTATTTTTATCCTATCGTCTGTTATGTGCATACGAAAATATTTCTACCGAATATGCACAATATAAGTTTTATATTATATTATTATCTATTATTATTAGTTAATCCTCCATTTCAGATTAGCCGCAATAAGGTTGCATAATTTCGGCCTTATTTCCCTGCCTTTACGTACTTCCACCAAGAGAAGTTGAAACGGACAATAATCCTCTATGTTGTATATTGTAATTGATTTCATTTTTTTGAAATTTATATTTGTTTAAAAGTAAAATTAAAATTTCTTGACTTGTGCTCGCACAGCGTGACCAGCGCATACGTTACCCAAAAGCAATGTTTTACACAAACCCAAAAATTTTGAAAAGTTTAAAGCTAAAAAGGATGGCCAGTCGATTAACTTTAGGTTATGGATTTCTCAAAAAAAAAAAAGAGAAAGAAAAAGGTGATTTTGCGCCACCTGATAACTGTTACTTAATCGGTCATGACATTCGTTTGGCTCGAGAGCTAAACAGCACTTCACCTTTGACAGTTTAGAGTATACTATCGTGTAGAACGTGACCTTTATTTTTGACCAGCCGCTGGTAAAGGGTTAGGTGCGTCTTCATTTTTTATTATTTCCCTGCCCGACCCGAACTCAGTTTTGGTTCTAATTCCAACATAAACAGGCTCACCGAATAACAAACACGGACGGAAATTAAGAAATGAAAGGCCATTTTATCTTCCCTTAAAACATTTAAATTTTTTGATTGCTGTAACTGTGTTAAAAAAATCTACCATATACTATTAGAGGTCGATGGTGACTGACACTGTGCCCAGGCCTACATAACATGACAGTTTCTGCAAAAATACTTAAGGACTTATGACTCCTTATATAGGTTTCACCGAAAACTCCTTGAAGTGGATCTTCAAATTAAAGGAGCTTTGATGCTTGTAAGATTCTGGCAAAATAATTTTGAGGACGTAATAAGATCTTAGCAAGATTTTTTAAAGGATCCTGGACAATTTATTGAGGATCAATATCCTAGAGTAGCCAACTTCTTTGAAAGATCCTTGGAGGCATCCTTTCAACCTTTAGAGCCCTCATGAATCTTCAAGGTTCTTAGCTACAAAACTGAGTAGTTTGAGAGATTCTTGAGGGCATAATTTTAAGCATCCTTGAAAAACACTCATTGAATCTTCAAGAATCTCAAGAAATTTTGCTAATGGGCATCTTTTGTTAATGGAAACCTTTATGGGTCTGGAGACCACTCTTATGGTCATCAGTTGGACAACTTTCACTACATTTGTCAGTTAATAGTCATCTTTGAGGACTGCGCTATTAAAGGTTGTCTTAATTCGTGGACACCTTTGAATACGTCTTACTCTTGAGGCAGCTGCTGTCTTTATGATATATATTAAGGTATATATTACGGTAATCAGTGAGCTTCCGTTCTTATTTATTTCATTATTTTTTTTGTAGTACTTAATATCGAATAAATACCAGTTACATTACTCGAAGGATAATTGTACCGGCAAACACTAGTCGCACACTCGTTTAAGATGGCTTCTGGAGAAGCCCAACTAGCGGATATGTTGGTCAAGTCAAACAGTACTGAGATAATCGTGCTAGAATCATGTCTTTATGCGCTTATTTTATCAGCGTTGCTTTTTGGAAATTTAATTACTCTGTTAGTCCTTGTTTTGAACCGTCTAATGAGAGCAGTTCCTAACATGTTTGTGGCATCGCTCGCTATAACAGACTTGAGTGTGGGAATTTTTGCAAGCATTTTATCGTTTTATTCGGGAATAACTTCCCATTGGTTTTTTGGAGACGAAATGTGCCAGTTCCAGGGTTTTATATCGGTAACTTTGGCATTGGCCTCGATTCACACAATGGCATTGATGGCGGTGAATAGATACTTTCGAGTCGTCAAACCAGCAAAGTATCGACAGCTCTTCACCAAGAAAAAAACCATGATCATGATTGTGACCGTATGGATTTATTCTATGTGCTCTCCTTTGTATTACATCCTTAGTGGGCAAAAAATGGTGTACCATCCTTTCAAGTATTTCTGTATTCTTCAGCAGTTTGAAGGTAACAGATTATTTGAAGCTATTAAATCGGTAGTTTACATAGGTATTCCAAGCTTCGTAATATTTTTTTCCTATAGCAGAATCTTCCAGACAGTTCGTAACCATAACCTCAATTTCAACCCCTCTAATGGCACAAGGAGCTCTGTGAACGTGGAGGAAATTAAAGTAACTCATACGTTGTTCGTGATCGTAGTTTGTTTTCATATTTGTTGGGTTCCTATTCTTGCCATTGATTTAGTCGATATAATTCACGGGAGATGGATTTCTCCTCGCGAGGTTTACCTTGCATATAGCTTCTTGGGCACTATAAGCAGCGCGGTGAATCCCATCATATTAGTTTTAATTAACAGAAAGTTTCGGAGAGGATATTTGAAGGTGCTTCGTTGCAGCTACTGCCGCAATCAAAGAGTCGCACCCATTGTTATTATTGGATAAAAGGCTGGACGCACACCTGGGTGATATTAAGAAAAACTGTCAGAAGGAATACTTGAAGGTGATTCTACAGACACTACCGCTAACAAAGAGTCGCACCAATCTCCATTATAAGGTTACTGCTGATTGCTGGGCACTCAATCGAATGAAATTATCTGAACCTTTCGGTCGTGTAATACTGTTTTGACCACAACATGGATGTGCTTGGATGAGCAATACAAATATTACTATGAAAGTGTGAAATCACATTGTTTCAACCCTGTGGTGACGTACGTACGGTTAGTGCCCATCAAAATTCCTCGGATGAATAGATGCCCCAAACCTCTTAGCTATGATAGGTTCTATGCGTATCTGGGCTGTTACGGGTACTATGCAAGCACACCCTCACATACAATCTGCCACCTGCACACCTCCATAATAATATTTGATAAGGTTTATCGACCGTACTATAAATATCAATCCAGGAAAGAATCATATCTCCCCTAACATTGACCAACAAATCCAAAACCATATTCAGTGCCCGATGACAGATCGTTCCTGAAAATTAAAAATAACAATCCTCAAAAATAAAACTGGTCTTTAAAATCCTATATAAAACTTCTTTATAAAGAGGAACAAAATGAATAATGGGAAACGCCTGAATAAACGAGTTTTAAGAGCCTTCGAAAGTATATTTAACTGAAGATATACTTAATAAAAAAGGGTAAGATCGTTCACTGCACCCAGCGAGCCCCCCAAAAATTTTGCATAAGCATTGTCCCCTCGGACTCTCTGACAGCCGCCAGTAATACTCCAGGAAACGAAAAACAAAGGTTTCGTAAAAATTTTGGCGGGAAAAACAAGGTGTGTGTATTGTGAGAGATGCCGTGTAAACGGCGAATAAATCGTTAACATCTGTAATTTAATAGTTAAAATTTATACTGAGGAATAAATCCTATGACTCATAGAGAACTGTCAAAGGTTATGATTATATTATAAATTAACATCGTACCTCTCACAGAAACTACATTTTTCACGTTTTGTGCCCTGTTTCTGTCAGCAAGACAAGATATTTAAAGTGTCAAATATTGTTTAGAAGCCAATTCCTGAAAGTTATATAGCAATATAGACAACAAGAGAACACTTTTATCAAGTTTTGTTAAAAATAGAGGCCTTACCGATTCGAGTATTTTATGGAACGAGATTTGACGGAGCGTTTTTTTCGCGTTTCTTCGTAAAATCCATTTGAAAACCAAAATTTTGTCCTTCCGTTAACACGTCAGTACACCCATTTTCGCCAGGCGAGTGTTGCTGCCTCCCGGTCGCAAAATGAAAACCAGTAGAGCGACAACAATCACCACGTCGCCAAATGACGCTGGCTCACGCGAGCGCTCAGTATTGAGGAAAGTCCTGCACGCGTGTCGCTGTCCTCTCGGAATGTAAAGATTCATTGGTGTAACGGCTCGCGATGACTAAAATTCCACAGCTGTTTTCGATGCAAGGATTGCGTAATTAAACCTGCGGCATGCCTGTCGTTTAGGGATTTCTAGGACCTATTCACAAAAAGACTCTTAACAACTTCAATAGAGACTGTGAAATTAATATAATATATAGATTTAGCCAGGGCTAAGCGAAGCTTCCGATAATATTTCGCAGTTTGTCAAACAAATGTAAACCGTGTAATTTTAAGCGGCGAAGGCAAACAGAACGGTGAAAACAAAATATTCAATTAACAAGAAAGCAACTTTGCACGTGCAGCACACTTTGTAATACTTTGCTGTTGTTTGTACGACTGGGCTAAACGTGAAACGGAAGCCCTGGTTACACGTTTGCGAGGAAACGTACGGCGTGTTCTTTGTTCACTTTTAAATTTTTGTTCGTTACTAAATATTTCGAAAGATCACCCAAATGGGTGGCGCGGTGGCCTGTGGCCATAGTCTCATGGGTATTAGGGTCGAAAAGGTCAAGTTGCCTGCGGCAGCGGATCAAACCAACGAAGTTCTGGCATTGAAAACGCAGTCACGCAGGCAAAGAACTCCTAATTTGGGCACATAGAACTCAAAAGCGAAACAGCGTGATTACTTCGTGGTTATTCGGTGCCGCGGTCAACCACCTGAAAAGGTCATGTTGTCGTTGTGGGTGATTTGAACCTTGAAAAAGTATGCGCTTGGACAAAAAAGAGGGAAACAGATTGATCGGAAGGAAATTCACACTTTAAATGTCTATAGGCTTATATATACGCGGGTTACGCCCAAACACCATCGAGGTTTTGTTGTTCAATAAACCTGATTATTTCAGACCAAGCGAATAATAAATGTTAGTTTAAGATCATTTCATGATTCAAGGTATTATGCACACCAAAATGACAAGGATGCGAGGAACTGGTACCTTTCAGGCTGTAAGTAAACTTGTCCTTTGGTTAAACTATTGTTCACTCTAGGCGGTTATTCCAGAGCGGCCTCTGGCAAAGCAAATTGGAAATTGTCGACACCTGATGTAATGCTTGCGGGTTGGCATTTAATGACACGTTATTGTTTAAGCGAGCTTGTTGAAAAAGGCAGCAAGTTACTAACTTTTCTTTTATATAACAGAAAGATCAAAAGATTCTTGGCAAAATTTTGATCTTTGCCGAGAATCGGGCGTTCCCAGACGGTTTCTACGACATTGCTCTTGTTGATTTCCAGAGACACCGTTACTATAATTCGGCGCATCGATACGCCAGCAATTCTAGATCTTCAACACGATAAGTTTGGCAAACACTCATCGACAATATTTAACCGCGGCGTAAAATTGTCACTAATAGCCTTTGAAAGAATATTAGGCAAAGTAATATAGCTGGTCATCGATTTTGGAAGACAAATGGTCGGAATGCACTTGTAGTTCCAAATCTTTCTCGCTTTGTTTACAAAATTTTTTCTTTCGCTTCGATTTTCAACTGTTATTGGGCTCTTTGGTTTTGTTTGCCGGCCATATGGCGTCTCATTTCAAGGTGTCCCCCACTAGTCGGCGCGAAGCACCCAGAAACCTTAACAAAAAGCTTATTATTACCGCTGAAGGTAAACCGCAACACGTATCTTTCGGTGAAGTAGGCTGTTGATTCCTGCACCGCTGGAGCCTCCTGAAAACTTCCACAAACCCGCTCACGCCGCCACCACTAAAATTGCGTCACAAATACCACTCATTTTCCGGACGATTCAGTATGTGATACAACATTACGATTTATCAAAATGGATAACGAATTTCAGATCGGTTATCAGGCGAATTTATAAAAATCGAACGCATCGGCCTCCGCGCGACCGCGTGTGACGTCGGGTCTCATAGCTCGAAGAAGTGGTTCGAAACCATCCCATGGACGGATTAATTTCGATTAAACTGTATTCCATTTTAGCATAAAACCGTAAGTAAATTCGAAGCAAAACTGCGTTATGAAATCTGGAAACTATCAATCGTTGTAAATTCAACCAGCAACGTTAATTTGGTCACTCATGTTTTTTTCTCAAAATCAATCACTAAAAGTCGGATTACTCCATCAGCACAGTACGCCGCGCTTAAAGCGAAGCGTATATTAAACCTGATCAGAAAACAATTAACCACCTCTTAAAAGCGCAAAATTTCTTAAATATCATACGGTAAAAGCTGTTGCACAAGAATTTGAAACCGATGTGCACACGTCACGGTTGCAATGTCCTGAGATACCTTTTAGGAAAGTCGCTGTTTCGTGGTCATAGCTTGAACCGTCGAGGAAAGGGGCTTATGGGAGGGGGGTTTGTAGTGGGAGGGTGGCTCCCCCAAAGCCCTCCTCCGGTCTGAATAGGGTTAAGGGTGAAATCTGTTATAGCATGCAAGTACAGCTGACGATTTATATATAGTATTCTGCTTTTTACCCAATAACAACAGAAAGCCTAACAGGCATAAGGTGTTGGCCATATCATTAATGTTGCAAAATAAATGATACATCACTGACTGTTTCATGATGGAGACCAGCCAAAGCGGCCAGAAGTTCGCGATCATACGAAAAGTGACTGTTACTTAGTCAGAAAGACAAAACGAGTCCCAAGCTTATACACAAAACCACAGTGAGTAATGCCTCCATTATCTTAGAATGGGCCGAGGTGAAAGCGCAGGAGACACAGAAGAACTCGGGGATTAAATTGTTAATTGCAGGTTATTTTATTCAGTTTGCCTCACTTACATATCTTTGGTGTAAGTTTCGTTATAGCATGCTAAGATATAAGCCTGTATCAAAACTGTTTTATAAAAATATAAACTTTCTAACGTAAACGAGTTCTAGGCCAACTACAAGAGCAAAACCATTTTGCACAACAAGAGAGTTTACGATAACCAGATAAATTGTCATTGTTTGATCCAGTCATTAAATCCTGTCCAGGTAGTCGCTTTCAATTGGG